ATGTAACACTCTTTCTTCTCTTTCTAAGAGTACGTTTTAAGGGACCTTCCATTGTTAATTACGTTTAAATAAGGACTAAACCCACTTATATATCGTCCTTATTACTCTCTTTATTGTTACTAATTAGGTCGATAGTACCCTCTTGTTATTGGGTATCTTTCTCTTTATAATCCGCTTCTATCTCCCCTATAGAAAGATACTCCTTCCGAAAAGCGATTTCGTCCTCTTCGACTTTAAATTACGTTATATATCTATATAATATAATCTCCTAGATTATTATAGCATTTAGTGAGCCTCGACGATAGTGATAGATATCCTAAGTAGTGTTAAATAGCTACTCAACGCTAGCGCTAGTTATAGGAATTAAGAGTATATCACGCGCGAGCTTTATAAACGTAGGGAATATAATCTAGTTCTCCTTCTAGAACGCTCGTATTAGAATACTAGAAACGGTGGCTAAGATATATATATTAGTATAAGCCTAGTGATTAATAAAATAAGGATACTTACTACTATCGAGATATCTTATAAGCTTGTCCTATTAGCTAGCTTAGATAGTCTAATCTAGACTAATTATCTAATTAAGGTCTATGCCTACACTCTATATAGAAGATCCTTTACTATTCTCTATCTATTCCTCTAATAGACGTTGCTTATATAGTTTAAAGTAGTCCACGAGGCTTTACCTATATCTAGTAAGCCACTTAGGGCCCTAATCTTTACTCTAGAAGAACTAGAGCTTATATTATGGTGCGAGTATTATACTAATAGTAAAGAGATCACTAGGAATATCATCTATCTTACTATAGTACTACCTAAGCTTTTCCTCCGCTATATAGAGAGCGGTAAGTATAAGCTTCTTCTAGGCTATCTTCTTTCTTATAAGCTACTTAATCGACTTCTTAAGATAGTCGAAGAGCTTATTATAGATAGTAAAGACAAGATAGACGATAAAATCTTTAGTTTTCGATAGCGTAGTGGTGAACTAGAAGAATAGCTATATAATCTAGAGCAAATAGTTAATCTAACGCCATTACTCTTAGTTAAGTATAAGATATAGATAGCTATACTTCGAGCAAAACTTATCTAAGACGGATTATAATTATTTAGCACGACGAAGCATTAGAAACGTCGAATTCCACTACGTACGAACGTCTTATATCGGAATAAGAGCTATAGAACCTATCTAGAGGCTACAGAAAGCTTTACGGCGCTATAGGCTTACGTTAATAAAGATAGCTAAGCTTCGAAGCTATAAAAATAGATTAGAAGTAGGTTTTTAATAGGTTTAATAGTAATAAGCCTTATTTAAAGTATTAATGATCTCCTATTTTTATTATCTAGAACGAATTAATTAGTCCTAGGATTTAGTCTATTACATTTAAGTAGTGTCATTCTTTGGATTTACCTTTATCTAACCTAAGAGTTACTTTAAGCTTAGTTAGATAATATAGGTAATATATAGAACGCGAATAATTGTGGTATTATCGCTAAGATTAAGGGACTAGATAGTCTCTTAGATACTTACTACTAAAGTGTTATTATTCGATATATTATTAGTAGTGATTATAAGTACTTGATCGGTTAAATTATACTTCTATAGAAGCTAGAATAGAATAGCGCTAAGGTTAATACCTAAGTGTATTCTATAAAGAGGCTTAAATCCTAGAAGTAGCTCCTAATAATTCTAGTCTTTATTAAGGAAGTAGCCTATAACTACTATAAATGCCTACTAGAAAGGAGATATCTAATAGTTAAGGGCAATAGAAATCTTTCTATCTTTAGGAAGTTTCTATAGTATATTCTAATAACGTTCGAGCACTGTACTTCGTAGCTAGCGCTATACTACCTTTATAGATAGAATATTAAGCTATCTTAGGGTATTTTAGGCTATAGATATTATATTACGGAACCCTAGATACTCTAGAAGCTAGAAGGGTAGCCTCGATTTAATAATAAATCGAAGAAGACTTAATTCCTATTTTTCCTAGCTAAATAGAGTATCGACTAGAGGGCTCCGCGCCTATAGAAATAGTCGAAATAAGTATATATCCTATAGACTATTAGGCTAGCTTACCGCTTATATAAATTGCCTAATATTTTGGCTTTTTGGCTTTCTACTATAGCTAGTAGTATATTTCTTTATCGTGGAAGTTCTATTTCTAAGCCCTAGGTAATTAAGGATAGCCTTGTAATACTTATATATAACCTTTAGCGCGCTATCACTAGCCCTAGCTACCTAATTAAAGTAGTGCTAAACGTTAGAAGAGTGTCGCGAGTCCTAACGTATACGCTTCTTCCTTCCGAAGTCTATTTATAGCCACTATTATATATAGTTATTACTTATTATTTTAGAGTAGACTATATATATAGTGATACGATTAGGTCGAACGCTCTCGAGGGAACTAGGCACTAAGGGCGAAGGTAATCCTAATAGGATAAAATTAGTATCGCCTATAGAGCTCGCGATATAAGCGAAGTTTTATTGGCTAATCGATAGATTAGGGGTTAGATTGCCTAATAGGAGGAGTTAAAGGTCATCTAAAAGGTCTATATTATACGAAGATAATATATAGGTATTAGTGAATTAAGATATCTAGTGATATAATAATTAATAAGCACTTAGCTAAGGATAGTTAAAAGTCTTACAAAAGAATTTCAACGCGTAAGCGTAGATTCTAGGGCCTTATAGTACCCTATTCTTCTAAAGTGAAAAATATAATATATTAATAAAGGCCTATATAGGTAGATAAAAGCTATACTTATTAACTTATAGCCTATATATATAATAGGTAACCTATAGGTAACCTACTTATAACCTATAAACCTATAGGTAATCTATTTTCCTTAAATAATTTCCTTCTAAGTCTTTAATCAAGGTAAAATCAATCCACTTTTTCGCATTTAATAGCTTAAATAAGATAAAAGAGTATTCGATTAGTTAACGTATAGCTTAATAAATATATACTAATTGTTATAAGATTAAAAATTCCTTATAAGCTATAGGATTGCAAGGACAATATAGAATTATATTGTCCTTACAAAAATATACATACTGCATTCTATAGTTTATATATATTTCCGCACTTCTGATGATAGTTTTAATAAATATTAGTTTTTACAACCCCAATAATATTATATAGTCCTTAAAGCGAAATATATAAGATTACTGCTATTCATTAATTAGAAAATAGACTAATTTCTTAATCTTTTATAAGGGAAAGAGGGTTTTGTTAATTAGAACTTTAGAGGTGACCGGAACAGATATAAATAACGGTATTTTATTGAGGTTAATCAGCAGTTTTGTGCGTCTTGGCGTAGACTAAATTAGAATATTTATGCCAAAACGGGTTCTTAGCGGGTAACCCGCGGGTACCCGCCAAGAACCCACGGGTCTACAGGTATAGGTTTTAGGTATTAGGTATAAACCCGACCCGCGGGTATGGGTCCTGAAGTTGGACCCAAACCCGACCCGAAGCGAGGTCTAGGCCTATCCTGTCTATAGCCACGGGTAACAGCACGTTTACCTACCTTGGGTAACAGCACGTTTACCTACCTCGGGCAATAGCACGTTTACGGCAAGATTACCTCGGGCGAATATTACCTTAGGTAATTAGCCAGATAAACTGAATATTTCTGTCTATAAATATAGCCTAGAAACCAGACTAAAATAAAACAAGAGCTTTCATCTCAATTATTCTCTTACTACCTTTCTCTCATAAAGGCAGACTAAAGAGACCCTTTATCTTTATCTACATCCATCTTCCTGGGGTAAGCTACTACGCCGCAGTAGTAGCCGACCTCTACGGGAGGTAGTATTTCTCTCTACAAATATTTGTCCTAAGGACTGCCCTGCCGCATAGGGACCCTTAGGCATTTATTTATCTCTCTTATTTTCATATACTACCAATCCCGACATCTAGACTTTCTAAAGTGTTCTTTACTATAAAACTAGTCTCTATATCTTATTAGTAAGCCTAAGGGGGGAATAAAAGCGATTACGATTAAGGCTAGAATAATGTTATCTTAGCCCTATCTAATACTTTTATATAAAGGAGGGCTAATTAACAATAGAAAAGCCCTAGAAGTCGCTTAGAAGATAATACTAGTAGCTATAGTAGATACCCTATAGATCTCGTAAATATCCACTATATATATTTTAGCTAGTATAGCGGAAAGCGTTATACTAAACCTTATAGTATACGTTTTAATAAGCGGCATAATATATTAAATATAAAAATATAATATCTATCCGTAGATTAGGAAGCCTATAGGAAGAATAATTATAGCAAAAAGTAGATACACTAACTAAGACTCTAGCTTAAATACGTCGCCCTTCGTTTCTCGCTAGTGGATTATATAGCGATCGGAAGTGAAAATATAGAAGATTAAAGCGATAGTATTACTAATAGCGAGACTTAAAAACGTTAAGCTAATAGAGCCGCTAGAAAAGATAATAGGGTACGTCGACTCTATACTTTTGGTAAGTATAGCAAGAATTAATAAGACTAAGACGTATATTATAGCTATATAGCTCGTTATTAGAATAAGGATAGGAGACTAGGCTAGGATCTATATTAGCTTTATAGCGTTTTTGAGTATAGTGGATATATTAATATAGGCCTAATATTTAGAACGATACTTCTTATTATCCGTACGCTCCTCTTATAAACGTTCCGTCTTCCGCCTTAGAATAACGACTATATATATTTCCTAAAGTATAGCTAGTAATAGAAAACTAAAGAATCTAAGTATAATCGCCACTAGCTAAATCGACCATCGCTAACCTAGGCTCTATATAATATACGCTCCTATAATTAGTAAGATGAAATCTATTATTATCTAAGTTCCTATAACTACTACTATAGATTAGCTAGTTTATTCTATTTAGAATAAATCTCTAACGATAGCGGGCCTAAGGGTGAGAATCGATAGGAAGTAACCTATTAAGAATTGGAACGTAATTAGTATAGGAATATTTACGCTTAGGGTACTAGCGATTAAGTAATAGAGTATAAGAAGATTTCTAATATAGAAGATAGGAAGCTAGCTAAATCTTTTGGAGAGTGGTGTAATAAAAAATAGGCTAATCCCTTCCCTAAGCTCCTAAATCGTGACGAGTAAGGTCTAGTCGAGCTTATTATGCGAATGGAACTCTTGCAAGATCTATAGCGTTATAGGCACGATCGTTATTATCGAAAAGACACTAATTTAGTTAGTCGACGATAGTAGATATATAGAGACTAGCGAGATAAGAAAAAGACCCACCTAACAAAACCTATCTACGAGATAACGAACATAATTAACTATTTACGTATTAATGACTAATTTAAAGGATTTTCTAGGTCGTTCTCCTCGAAGTCCACGAGGACGATATCTATATCGCCGTCTCCGATGGCATTTTCTAATAGCTATTTAGCGGTCTTTTTATTTTCGCTTCCCGCTATAGCCACGGGCTCTTTGTCTAGCACTTTCTGCGGCTCGAATAAAGATAAAATAGGGGCTAGGTAGGTGATAGCTTCGTTAATAAAAGACATCAGTGTCAAGGGGGTGGTATACGCAAACAATTTCTAGTTAATTGCTAAGATAGTAGGCGGGAAGTGGTATATTGCGAAATAAAGCGACAGTTTAAGGGCCGATATAGTTAATCACGTGAATAGCCTAACTTATTCGAGTACAAAATATAGGGATCAATTAGCGGTGAAAAGAACTCTATAGTTATTACTATACCCTTTGGTAATTTAGTTAGAGAATTGATACACCACACCCTTTGGTGCTCGCACCATTCCTGCCTTAGAATATAGGCATCAATATTTTCTGCCAGCAGATTGTTTAGGTATTCCATTCTATTCAGCTGAATAACTCGAATTCTGGTTCGCTTAACTAACTAACTAGTAAAATAACTGGTTTATCAGCCCATTATAGCGCTCTCTCCCTATTCAACTAAACCATGCACCGGTTTCGCGACAACCGAGGATCTGATTTCGGCCTATGAATGGGTCGAGGGTTACCGCCTCCAGTAGTACACCCTGATTGCAATGAAGATCCTACCCAAATAATTTTTTGTGGGGTCAGTGCCGGAGGCAGATGCGCCTTGGTCACTGCGCTGCACTTTTCATCCGCATTACCCCAGCAGAAGGATAGGACCCCGCGTCCGAAAGCGCTTCGGCTCCTCTACCCAATGTCGGATGTCGGAAGCGAGAAATAGGCACAGAGAGTCTCACTCCCTGGAGCGACGGTGGATCTGGCTATAGCGTAATCTTTGCTACTAGAGGATATCCCCGAAGGATTGCGCGGGGAGACTAGTGTCGGGGAGGACTTCCCCTCGTCCGAGGAGGAGCTCCGGAGTCCGGACGAGGAAACGCTTACCCTTGCTCTACGCTATTCTAGAAAAAGGGGTGTCTCTCGAATATTTGACGGGGGTGTCTGGGTTCGGGATATCTCTACTCCGTATCCAGTATCTAATTAGATACGTCTATCCTAATTACTTAGCATTTCCCTGACCTGGACGCTACTACTACTACACCTGGCACTCAACCCGCCCCGCGGGGGTTCAAAGTCAGGAACCTCCACCCGCACCTTCAAGGGTCAGGGTCCAGCCTCACCGACCCTGACCCTGACCCTCCAAGGGTCCCTGGACGGTCACCCGCGTCCGACCGACCCGCATAAGACACACTTTACCTATTTAGGACACCCCTTACTATTTTCGGATGGATAACTACGTGGATTGACACCGAAAATATGACTTTTCTGCCTAAAACGTGACTTTTTTTTCGTAAAATCAGTCACATGGGGACCCGGAGGGTCAGGATGTTAGACCATCCACCCGCCAAGAGGAGGTGCGGGTGGAGGGTCCGCAGGGTCACCCGCGGGTGAGTGCCAGGTCTATACCTATTCAAGTAAACTATCTCTACCCTTATCATTAGTATCTTTATCCTATAATCACAATAAACGTTCCTTAAAGTAAGTATGGTAAGGAAGCTTCGTAATTAATTATTGTTATTAAAATATAAGTTATCGCTTTTTATATAGTGTATTAGGTGCTGTTTCGAAATACGTATTAGAAATGTATGACTTTCCTAAACTTCCGTATAGTGTAACTTTCTTATAACTGCCTCATAAGAGCTAGTTGCTTACTCTCGGTGGTCGCTCGTCATCTCTCACGCGATCAAGACTCGATTTTGTCCCTCCCACCTTTCTTCTGTATACGTTTTCTCTGTATTTAGAGACCACTGCAATACAAACACTTTCTCTCCCTACAAGTGAGTGCTTAGGGCCCTATCTGACGCTACAGTCTAAGACCGCAGCGACAGGTGACCCGTTTACGGCTAAACTTTACTCTTTTTGTCCCTCTTGATTGCGTGACGTCACCAATAAAGTTAATTATAGTTAGCTCACTTAAAGATGGGGTGTCCTTACCAATTCTCTGTCATTAGCAAAAGCTGTTGTGTCACTAGTAATTCTCAGTGTGAGGCTACGGGTGTCGAAACTTTTGATGTGCCTCCGTGGACTCTGCTACAGTAACCTATGCCAGAAGCTGGAATTTGAATTGGCAATAGGTAGCGGAAGAGAAGCAATGTAAACCCCACATGACAACGACATTATCGATTAGTAGAAGTGGTCGGCGTACGTCTGTCCTGATGTTTGGCATGGAAACAGGATCCACGAATTGACTATAAAATATGCGTGGGAGGCTCGTAAGACAACATTAAAACGGTGTCTGGAAATATAAAGAGCCAGGTATGCGGGACATCCTAGTTACCTAACTATAATGTATAGAAAACCCGTCCATCAACCTCTCACAGTCATCTACAACTTTGCCGTGGCCGGCTCGAGGGTAGAGAGCAGAAGGTCCCTAATATCCCCTGCGGCCTCGCTAAGGTAAAAGCTCATTCGCTCGCTTCCAAGGTTCTTTGACACAACATTGAACTGGATACTGGGAATTATTAGCAATCTTCATTCTAGCTTCAGGAGGGGTGAAATACCTGTTCTCGTTGATCATATATGCGATTCCCCACCCTTCGTGGATGACTTGACTCCAGCCAAATCCATTGAAGTATTCCGAGCTCAATTGCGAGGTAGAAATGTACCATGAGCTCGAGTAGCTGTAAGCAGGATCCTTGAAGATGGCTGGAACCTCATCATTCGAACTAAGCAGTTTCTTTAGTCCAAGCAGATGGCGATCCACGCCCTTCCCATCTGCTGCAGCAGAAACGTACTCAACGTGTGCCTTGAGCGCCTTGTGAAACAAAGCAGCGGTCTCCTTGGGAATGACGGAATGATCAACGAAGGCTTTGCAGAACGCTACAGAGTCATCGGAGACTGTGCGGCAAACCTCTGTGCGACCTTGTTGGAATCGCCGTGTCATGACTGACTCATACGTAGGTCTGTTCTTGCCATACATCTTGAAGTAGGCTAATTGGATGACCATTTGGACGTAGGCATCCGGAGAACACCGCAGCTTCCTGATCAAGGCTTTGCCGTAACCTTGATAGGCTTGAACCTCTAACTCATGGGCATCAATGACTTCCTTGAAGTCTTTTTGGGCGCGCTCAATCTCGGCTTGTACCTCCTTGCTGACGTAGAATTTGATCACAGTGGGTTCCGGGAGGTTTGAGCGGACCGAAGGGTCGGAGAAATCGAGCAGATTGTTGAAGATGACTTCGTTTACGTATTCATTCAGTCGGTGAGTAGAGGTACCGTCCATCATAGAATGTTCGCCCATGAACCCAGAGGTCCCGTTGTCATTGATGATAAATTGGCAAGGTTTGTCGTACCACCGGTTTTCTCCATCGCCGTGCCAGTACTGGTGTGCTCGCTCTTTCAAGGTCACGGGGGCAGTATCGTCCAGACAGACAACGAATGAAGCTGCTTCGACTTCTTTCATTGACGTTGCATTCGTCGGATGGGCTTTTAGCAAGATCTCTCTTGCCTCCGTCCAGATATCGCGATTCTCGGTTGTCAAAGTACCGACAGGGGCCACCTTGCCCACCAGTTCGTAGACACGGTTGAACTGCTGCTCCAACTCCGAAGTATTCAGCTGCTTTCCATCCACTTCGTGTAAGACCTTGAAAAACTGATTCTTGCGGATAACGAGAATGTATTTGTTCTCTTCAGGGGAATATTTGATTGGGTAATCAGCAGGTCGAGCGGGAACTCTGCAGGTATTGAACATCCACTGGTAGCTCTCCATCGACATCGGCAGCCTCTTCATATATTCAGGCTCCAATGTACCTTCGTCGATCTGCTTCTTAAACTCCAGCGCCGCGGTAGATATAGCTGCGGCGCGCTTGGCAGGGTCTCGTCGTCTTCGATCATCGCGGTGAGAATAGAAGTAACTGACATATGGCACAACGGGGTCTCTGTATGTCAGGTACGCCGCATCGTTCCACCACTCGTATAGCCAATTCTTGTGTTTCGAGTCTTCACGGCGAACAATCAGCTTTTCTTGGAGCTTAGCACCAATCCCATCAGGCTTGATAAATTCTTGGACGGCCTTTGTTGTTGAGGCTAGTTCGGTGCTTGAAAGGAGCGGATGGACAGACTTGAGGTATCGAGCTGCTGTTTCTTCGAGGGTTGGGACAGGGAGTTTGGGGATGGAGTCTTCGAATCGGAACATTCGGCCCTTCGAGCTGTCTTCTTTGTAGCCTAGTGTATTTTAGACGACTGACGGACGTATCTATATGGGGCTGGCTTATAATGAACTGCATACTTGCTGGTAAAGCAGAGCTACTGCTCTCTCGTGCATTTCTCGATGCCATTCCTGTGCTCTGACTAAATATAAGTTCTACCTTCACCCAAAGCCATTGGAACGAGACTTGCCTTGGAAAGCTGAGAGATTTGAAATCGATGTCTGAGGACCGTTGACTGCGTGCGAGCCTTTCCGAGTTCCTTCAACATACCAACGATGTTCTGGAACTTTAAGATAGTATTCAATGGGTTCTGGAGATCAAATATATTGGTCGCGGAAAACTTTCCTTGCTTCGTTAGTGATGCTTGTTCTTCGGGCCTCGGTTCTTTCCAGGTCCTCCTCGACCCGAGGTTTCCAGGAAGGGCAATGAATGTGCGTAGGCGTTGGCTCTATAGACGGGTATCAGCCCGACAGGGGGTCCGAATATAGGGCGGTTCAGCCGAGGTAAATTTAGGTCACATGTGGGCTTATCGATCGTAAGTAATTCATAGGCAAGTGGCACACACGGGTGGAATTAGGCTACGCCAAACCCCGCGCCAACCTAAACCCAACCCAACCCAAACCTGTAAATATAGATTAGCTTGAGGTCGACTTCTTTGACCCGTACGTATGTTTTAAGACGAGGTAGATAACCTAACCCAAACCTATATAACCCAAACCTAACCTATGTAGGTAGGTCCTTGTCTTAGTATTATAGGTCGGAGTATTACATTCCTGGAATACATTATGGCCCCTATCCACCGGAGTTGGCATTTTCGCGATGTCGCAAGTATTCTATCTCTAAATTAGCCCTAAAAGTTTATTTATATATAATGGTGAACGCGTCCCTAGTTTCACGGTCGGTCTAGGTTCAAGTTCTATCCCACAAGGACTCCGTCGGATCTAAGAAAAAAAAGACTAACTTTTGATCTATCACGTTATATTCCGTTATATCACCTTCTTATTATCCTTAGTAACGTTGCAATAACTTTGAGTAGCTGAGATATCTCGTATGTAACTCACTAATCACTTAGAGATTGCGGATTATACTACTAGGGATCTATAAGTAGTTACGTACGGTTATTCTTGTATTATTAGTAATGATCGTAATAGCGACGGTTCTCCGACTTATACCGCCCTAGTGACCTATTTATTACATTTTGAATCATCCTTGTTATTTTTTTTGCCACGATATTTTTATTAAGTGAGTTTCCTGTTATATCCTTAGGCAGGCCCAATTTACTCTATGGTGGTGGCTGTATGCCCTGCTTCCTATTTCATCTAGTGAGACGTAGGGCATGTAGGCATTCGACTTGCTGGAGATGAAAATAAGCCCTAGTCTCATTACGTGATCTTATAGGCATTCATCGGAAGCCCAGCCAGATCTCCAAAATTTCTCCCAATGACCGAATAATTGGGGTTCTCATAAGCCGTTGGCCAACACGAAGCTGGTTCAGTAGCTTGCATTAGTGCGTGCAATCACGGCGGAAGTTGACTTGTATTTTTAAAATCGTACAAGCAGATGTCGGAGACTAACATATTACCTATGAGTGCTTTATCATGGGTTCCTTGAGATGTTGTCTAGGCATTGGCTGAGTGTCGACTAGAATTGAAAGTGTATTGAAACCATTGTTAGACTTGACTACCACACGTTAGCTAGGCTTTAAGGAGAGATTGGCTACTAAAGCTACTTGCGCATAGTGGTATAAATGACTGAGGCTGCCCTGTGAGATTTAATCGTCTCGTTCCACTGCGCGTCCTATCAGTTTATCGTGCCTGTATAACTATGCTAGATGATCCTCGATACATCATGATCACGTCCGTCCTCCCAGACTTCATTTGGAGTTTCCTAAACTAATTCAAAGATACCGTGCTCTAGTGCCCCTGTCCTTGGCGAGAAGTAGGCCAATATCAGTGATCTGTACCACACAGCAGATTTGGCATTTTTAGACCAACATTTTGCCCAAAATTTTGAATACGCAATCACGCTTAGAGTCACAATTGCTATTTTCAACGACATAAAATAAAAGACTACTAATATAGCAACCTAACTTCGTCCTTGCACTGGATAGGTGTACGGGATTCCTTCCTCCAGGCCCCTCCATCGGAGGACTGTGCCCGCTGATACTCAGAATAGTGGCTACCTTTGCGGCCAGACGAGCGGTCGCGATTCTGACGCTTGCGGGCCTTCTCTTCCCGCTTCATACCTTTCCTCTCTTTGCGGGATACCTTCACCTTTTTGGGGAAATCACTCTCTTCGCCTTGGAGATAGCGGCCTGGGTGCCAGATATTCCAAATGATCATAGCGCCGAACATAGGCAGACATTCGAGACAGTAGAAGGGAGATTCGTTGACAGTCAGCGGGCTAGTGCCTACGGTGTTGGTGTCGGCAAATTCAATCAGGCGGTAGATAATTCGAATCTATCTTCGTATTAGTCGTGGACCACCGCAGTATCGAAATCAGAGTGACCTACCGTGATGCACCCTAAAGTGGCGTACATAACAAACACTAACGTGCGCCACTGACTGCCCCGAGAACATTCAGTATACCTCTCTTGCATACGCCGATGAAAGGCGAACAGCAGTCCGCAGAAGCACACAATGCAGAACTCCTGCGCTGCAATACCAGCCGTATAGATACGAAGTCCGATGCGGTTCATCTCATTACTAAAGTCCGAGTCCATGATACCGCCAGTCGCTTGGATGATGAAGGAGCTATAGTGGGTGAAGGACACAGGGTTAGCTAGTCGAGCGCCGGGAGGGGCGCCGAGCGGCCCCTTTCGGAACTCGGTAAATTCGAGGCTCACCTCACGTCCAGCCAGATGAAGATTTTGGCTAGCTTATCGGCCTTGATGCCTAGCACCTTCTTCTCCGGCACGAAGTAGTAGACCATACGACCGAAGATCATGTAGACAAAGGCGTTCACCCACAGCGGGGCCAGCAGCACCAGTAGCTGCCCGGCGGATGCCGTCGTCGACTTGGTCTGATTGATGGTCGAATAGGTGCGCATGACCAGCCCAATACATTCCCACCAAGTGCCCACCACAATCACCCAGCAAAACCTTTTACGGTAGGCCACCGCCTGAGCGGAGTGGGCGATTGCGGTCAGCCCGAACAGAACCGTGAAAAAGATGGCAGCAGGGCCATTAGCACAATAAGCATATTGAGCATTCTCGTCGGAGAGATCTATTCAGGTCACTTAAGTCCCGGATCACCCGCATAGAAAACCTACTGCAATGACTTGGCCAACCCATGACGACGGCCAATCACGGTATGGCAGCACTGAGAAGAGATCAATAGATAGTGCGAGCGGGAAGACCGGCACAGTAGATGAGCGAAAAATGAAAATCAACTTTACGGGCTGACGGCAGGCGCTAACATTTAATGATTACATGGCGCGGATGATCGACAAGTTTCAGGGCCGTGACCGGGGAAACTGCTGCCTGATCAGTCAGATCTAAATCTGGCCTCTCAAGGACCGACAAGACCCCAGAGTCCCAAAGGATCCAAAGGGGCTGGGGTGACTATCATCTTTGAACAAAGGAATGGGGGCCTGGGGTGCAAGCTCAGCTAGCGTTGCTGCAAATCGAGCTGACCCAACCAGCAGATCCAGTGTGATCCATTCTCCGACCTTGCCTCTTCGGTGCGTTGAGATAAATAAAGGAATATGGCTGGCCTGGTTCCAGTGGTCGGCGCGAGAGTATGCCGTAGCCTAAAATAGGCTGCTAAATTTTGCCGCCATGTTGATCTCGACCGATGACACTCTACATCCGGCAGCCCTGTCGGACTCAACGTCTTAAAAGTTGGTCCACGCTGGAGCAACCATCCGCCTCCTGCTCGTCCACAAACCTTTCGGGTAGCCAAATCCTCACGATCTCGTATGGCGACATTGCACACCCACTCTCGGTAACCACAGCGTCCTTTCCTGCTGCGCTCCAATTCCGCGATGACTTTATCCATGATCTCAAGATCGCCGGTGGGGCCGTTTCTGTGTCTTCTTTAGTGGAGCTCTGGGCCCGCTTTATCGGGTTTACCGTGTACCGCTTAGAATGGTCGACTAGTAGATTAGCGGACGACATTTGACCGCGGCATTTTACAGCGGCGCGAGATTCGTGTCGTTGTTCACGCCCTTGAAAGCAAAGCTAATGTCTAGTCGGTTATACTGGCCGCCTACGTGCGGACTCGACATACGCTACGCCCCCCCCCAAACGTTCTGGACCCATGACCTCGAGGCGGTTGATATCAAAGAAAAGGACTCCTCTCATTCCGACATTCCGATTTCTCTGCACCTTTGAGTGGCGAATACTCTCTGACTTCCGATTTTCCGATATCTCCTCAGTTTCAGCTTGACCTATAGGAACACAGTCCTTCCACAAGGTCGCCCTTTGCGACCATTATGCAGAGGATTATTGAGTATTTGATGCTCATACTGGTGCTTTGACTCTCGGGAAGCTTCGTGTTCGTATTGTCCACCCGTTCCTTGAATCCTGGAGATACAGGCGCATGGGTCTCCATTGAACACTGAGGGAGGTTGGTTTGCTACTGAGCAGCAGAACTTCTCACAGGGCTGCTAAATATGACGATCCATATTTGCAATAAGTAAGTAAAATAAGTTAAGCGACGGCGTGGAACCAAGAGGGAGGGAGAAGTGCGAAGTGGAAACGCCGAGTAGAACTGCCATGATTACTGAGACGGCTATCCCGAAGGCAAAACGTCACGTAGGGGTTTCAAGAGTAAGAATACTGTCTGTCTTCTTTATCAAACGATTCGCTCACCGCACAACACGTCCGGGTCTCTATTTACCTAGATCCTGCAATCGCACAAGTTCCCAATACTTGCCTCGATCCTTGATCAACTCCTCGTGTTTGCCGCTCTCCACAATCCTTCCCTTATCAAATACGTAGATGCAATCGGCGTGGGCGATCGAGCTGAGGCGATGGGCGACCGCAATCGTCGTGCGGCCTTTGGCTGCGGCATCAAGCGCGCCCTGAACGATTCTCTCGGATTCGGCGTCTAGGGCAGATGTTGCCTCGTCAAGAAGGCTACGGGAAACAATGAGATGGTGATGGCCTTTCCATGGATCATCCTTCGTAGCAATGACTTACAGAATCTTGGGATTTCTCAGCAGCGCTTTTGCCAGCGCGATCCGCTGCTTCTGCCCACCAGACACTCGACTACCTCGCGCACCAACGTCGGTCCTCAACCCGTCTGGAAGAGACAACTGGATGATAATTGTTATTTGTCAGGATCTTGAGCATGGATAACCGCCTCTCTTACCACAAAATCATGGATGTTCGCATCTTGACACGCAGTCATAATCTCCTCGTCGCTGATATCCTCTGTATCGCCGAGAATACAGTCTCTGATATTGCCGCCGACCAGAGTGGAGTCCTGCTCGACCATTGCCATCCGCTTCCTCAGTGCACTCAGTCGGTATTGGCGGATATCTTTGTTATCCACCGTAATATAGCCGCCGACCACGTCATAAAACCGTTCAATCAGATTCAAGACGGTCGTTTTGCCACTGCCACTGGCCCCGACAAGGGCAACAAAGTTGCCGGACGGCGCCGAGAAGCTGACCTGATGGAGGATCTGGCAGTCTGGTCGCGATGTGAAATTGAAGTCCACCTGCTCGACAACCAGATCTCCAGTCATGTCACCGACCGCATCTCCTTCCGCAGTGAAAGCATCAATCGTGGGCTGACGGGAGAGAAGCGTGTCCAGCCGAGCAGCCGCTTCCTTGGCTCCAGCGATATCCGGCGCGAATGAAAAGATCGTGCCTGCGGCCTGCGCACCCCAGACGATAGCAATGAAGCAAATGAAAAATTGCTGAACGTTGTATTCGCCGGACCCGATCAGTCTCATCCCTCCGTACCAGAAGATGAAAGCGGCGATGAATAAACTGAATGATTGCGTGGCTGCAAAAACAAGACTGGAGAACAGGTCGTAGCGCTGATTGATTTGGTGTTCCACATCCAGCTTGTGCTCGTACTGGTTGATGATGACTTCTTCCATGGTCAAAGCGGCGACTGTGCGGATGGCAGATACGGCTTCGCACGCCGTTGCTGCCGCCTCCGTGTCCCGCTTGACATGTCGTTCCATCTGCGTGACAATCCAAAGTCTCAGGAAGCCACAGGCAAGCAGAATCGGTACAGTGGATGTGGCCACGAGACCAAGCTTCCATCCAAATGGACATGCAACTGCGACCGCAGCAACGAGAGTCATGGCGCTGTTGAGGATTGCTCCCAGCGTGGTTCCACTGATGCCCGTCAGTTTACTCGCTTCGACGGCAAGGAAAGCAGCCAGAGACCCGGAGCTGTTTTCTTTGGCATCGAAGAATAGCATGTCTTGTCGCAGGATCGAAGCAAAGGCGAGTACCCTAGCTCTCGAACCGAGCTTGGATCCCGCAATGGCAAAACAAAGACCTTGCACGAAGTAAACCACCAACATGAACAGCCCCAGCAGAAGCAGCATAAGTGCCCAAAAATTGACAGTGTGATGGCCGGTGCTGAGTTGGGGATCCACAATCGAGATGATGGCGTTGCCAAAAAATATGGCCTGGACAGGATACCCTGGTCCGGCAAAGAGGCTGCAGAGGATACCGACAACCAGAAACTTCCTCTCTGGAGTGTTAATGGACCAGACGACCTTCATTAGCTTCCAGACCGATGATCTACTTTCTTCGAATCGGGACCCTCCCCCCGAGCGTTTTGAAACTTGGCGGTCCATCATCGCCATTCGCATCACGTCTGTTTCAGCCCAGTCATGGCTCTCTTGCGTTTCCATCATCTCCTCCTCTCGCCGGAGCTGCTGTGTTACGACGAGGTTCGCATATGTCGATTGCTTTGAGAGTAGCTCCTCATGAGTCCCTTGCTCTATAATTGTACCACACTCAATCACAACAATAGTATCGGCTTTCTTGATTGTTGAGAGGCGGTGGGCGATGACAATGGTTGTACGCCCTTTCGCTGCCGCATAAAGAGCGGCTTGGACGGCATTTTCGCTCTTTGTATCCAACGCGGCAGTGGCTTCATCAAGAAGAAGAATTGGAGGGTTTGAGACGACCGCTCGCGCGATGGCTATCCGTTGTCTCTGTCCGCCCGACAGTGTAGATCCCCGTTCTCCCACACGCGTGTGGTAGCCTTGGGGCAAGGCGGAAACAAACTCATGTGCCTGTGCAGTCTTCGCAGCCTTTACCACAAGGGCCATTAATTTCTCGTCGTCAAGCTATTTGCTTCTCGTCAGCGGTATCTAAGCTTCAGCGCAAGCATGCACGTACTTCGTTGGCCTGTGACCCGAGCCCATACATGATGTTATTGTAGACGGACGTATTGAAAAGGAAATTGTCCTGAGCCACAAGACCGATCTGAGATCGCAGCGAGTGAACGTCTAGATCTCCAATCGGCATGCCGTCGAGGAGAATTTGGCCCTGCACGGGGTCATAAAGTCGTTCCATGAGCGAAAAAAGAGACGTCTTGCCCGAGCCCGAGGGGCCTACGATTGCAGTCATCTTGCCCGCTGCGATGTGCAGGTTGAAATTCTCGAAGACGACGTGATTTGTTCTCGACGGGTAAATGAACTTGATATGGCGAAAGTCAATATCACCCTTCACGGACTCGCACCGTCTGCCGCTCCGTGCGAGAGGATCGATGGGGGACTCTCGCTCGATAGTAGCGAAGATCCTGTTCGCCGCCGCTGCCGCCTGTGCAATGGCGGCAATGAATGGCGCGGCATGTCCCAGCATCGCTCCAGCCATGCCACTGGCCAGCAAGACGGTCATGATCTGGGAGATATTGGAGTAGCCTTGTTGCAGGAATCGATTCCCTTGCCAGAACTGTCAAAATCAGCCATCCAGGTCATGCCGATCCGTGTCGGAGGGAGAGGAGACACACTGCCAGAGCATAGCCCCAGAGCATGACCATGAACATCAAGGCCATCAGGATGCCCATGGTCACCTTTGCTTTGAAGTCCAAAGCGGTTGCCTCACGAAGACTCTCGTCGTACTTGGCTTGGAACCGTTCCTGAGAGCCGTAAGCCGTCACCGTCCGAATGGAAGAGATCACCTCCTCCGCAAAGCTGCCGCTATGTGCGTATGCGTTGTTGCTCGACTCCTGATATGCTTTCATTCTGGACCCCAGGCCGCCCATGATCAACAGCACGACGACCGGAAGACACACCATGACCAAGCCTAGTCTCCAATCACGCACGAGAGCGACGATGATTGCCGCAAAAAATCCTGACACGCCTGTGATCAAAAGGCCGACTTTCTGGGAGATCCCGTCTTGAATGAGATTCATGTCGTTGGAGATCCGTGCGGTCACTTCACCCGGCCCGGTCGAATCGAAGAAAGCGATATTCTGGCGCAGGACGGCGGAGAGATAGGTTCGTCGCAGGCGTTTCATGATGGATTCGCCCGTGATGGTGAACCCAAAGGAGCTGACGCTTGTAGCGAGAAAGGAACCAATGCCTGGCTGACTTCAGTATACTACGGGCTAGATGGAGGGTGGGGGAGACCCGTTACCTAGATATACCAGATCCAGCGTCAAACGCCGCGTCGAATGGCTAAACGCAGACAACGACGAGCTGTCGTTGAGATTATTGGCGAATTGCCCGGTGAGGGATCCCATGACCACCTATACAGTACATGTTAACACCAGAATGGCTGCCCGAGAAGAGGCGCCTACGGTCATCAACGGCAAGGCAGCGCCGGCAACAGCTGCCGCCGCTGCGGACATGATCAAGACCAGCGTGTCAATCTTTGTTCGAAAACGAAAAATCGAGCCATATCCAGCGGACGAGGAAGGAAGCTGAATTTGTGCCCGCAGAAGACGGGCCTCTTCCTCATCCAAGGCCCGAGCATCGTGGCCCGTTGACTGAAGGCTCTTGACGGAAGACGCACCCATGACGGAGCCAAGATAGATCTATAAAAAGGAATAGATAAGAAGTTGCTGCAGGCGTGATTCGAGAGAGGGAAGAGTTGATTGACGAGGGATGATCGGAGGCATTGATGGGCATACTTATAGATGTTCTTGTCGGGGTCGCCGTCAAAGTCGCGTTCGTTTCGGAACCCGCTCCCCCCTCCCCCCTATATCCTCTCAGACACTCGCATACTCCATTGAGAGAAACGAAGACCGAGAATGAGAAAAGATGGACCGATATTCTCGATGGTTCTTGGCATGACTTGTGTGGCCCTTCTGAATGGTTCATACTACACCCTCCACCGAGGTACCGCTTCCCCGTCCCGATGGGGAAATGCGAAGCCATGCGAGCTGATAGTCTCCCGTCCCTGCAGAATCACAGATCCAAGTTACAAAAATGGGGCTTAGCATGTATCTATTCTATTCTCTTTAATTTTTCTATCGCTGAAACGGCATCCACCCGAGCTGAATCTATCAGCCTGGAGTCGAGTAGCTCCGCTCCCTGTCGATAAGGATCACTCAGTGGATTCCAAGGGGACAAAATAAACGAGAAAGACCGAACGAGCGGGAGCGGGCAGAAAACGTGACGTGACTCGACCTCGCATTCTCGTTTGGGAATGCGAGCATGCCGCCCTTCCGCCTCCTCCGATTCAGATTCAGATTCGCCCCCCGGCTTCCCGCTCGAGAAGTTACATCGACTCCATTCTCTGCCCCCAATATTCCCAATATTCATTCTGTCATTCATTCATCTCAAGTAAAATTAGAAGTCGCACTCGCAGGCAAGGTTATGTTGGAAGAGGGAGCCACCCCCCTCCCTGAATCCCATCCTGCAGACCCGTTCTGCAATCCATTAATTCACACGTATGGATTGGAACCCGTCGACCATCTGAACGAGCCTCAGGCACTAGGCCGATCAAGGCATCAAGAAACAAGAGCGGGCTGTCAATCCTCTTGTCTTTTTGCTGTGGCTCTATTCAACCCACAGACGATCGGCTCTGCAGGAGAATTGGAATTGGGCCATGGCCAGAGGGACCCGTGAGCAATTTCATCATGGCCGCTGGCATTTCTAATGACACTCTTCGCTCCTCCTGCTCCTCCTCCTCCTCCGTTCCTCACGGCTCCTTCGTTGGCTTCTCCAGACTCATCTTTGCAACGGAAGATCGCTCAGCTTTGCGGGAGATCTCGGACCAGGAGGCCGCATTATCGAGGCAGAAGCGGCCCCATCATAAATCCAGAAATGGCTGCTTGTCGTGCAAACGCCGCAGAGTCAAGGTACAGTTCGGAACGCTGACCTTGGTTATTGTAACTATACAAGGGAGAAAGCTAAAGTGTCCCCACAGTGCGATGAGAGCACGCCGGCCTGCACGAACTGTGCCAAGCGCCGCGAAAACTGTGAATGGCCGTCGCGCTTGCAGCGGACGATGCCATCCCGATCCCGGTCTCCGTCGATAGAGACGGCGATATCGCAGCGCCTGCTGGACTCGGCTAATCCGAACTTGAATCTACTGCATTTGAAGCTCTTCCACCACTTCGCGTGCGCGACGCGCGAGACGCTCATCTTCAAAGAGGTGTGGGATGAAGGGCTCCAGCTCTCCTTCCAACATGAATACCTGATGCACTCGATCCTGTTCCTCGCGGCCCGGCACCTATCCGTGCTGGTGCCCAACGACCCCCGATATTCCACGGCAGCCATCGCCCATCTCTCTCAGGCGTCTCGCTTGTATCGACAGGCGCTATCGGAGCGGTTCACCGAGGCAAACATCGATGCCCTGCTGTGCACGGGGATTCTGCTCTACTACGATGCTTGGATGAATGTCGATTTTGTCTCCATGGGCACCGACTCGGTCGGGCTCTCGTTGGAGTTTGCTAAGGACCACCTGTTCACGCTCTCCCCCGGGATGTCGCAGATTTTCTTGACCGCGATACCGCTGATGACCCGTAAACCCTCCACTTTCATTAACGGGGTCCTCCACCAGCCCAGCCGGACGGTCCAAGAGGCGCTCACCACATTCCGTCTCGATGCATCCCAATACCTATACTTCTTCGCGCAATGGTACGATACCGCGTTGGATCACCGGGCATTGACGCTTCCGCGACTGTCACAGCCTGGTGGTGCAGACCAGAGTCGTCGGCTGACCTTTGAATACCGATACGAGCCGACCGATGATCCGCTAGAAGCGTATATGGCCGTCGTCTGTCGACTCTCCAACATTCTGGCGGTTCTGCCCGACGCCCGCGAGGGATCAAGGTCCCTCTTAGAGGACGATCCGTCTCTGGTCGATGACGTGTCGAGACTCTTCCTCACTTTCCCGATGCTCTGTCACGCCCCGTTCATCCAAATGCTAAGAGAGAGAGATCCCAGGGCGCTGCTGCTGATGTATCACTTCTATCGCGCCGCGAAGATCTTATTACCTGAGGATAAATGCTGGTGGGCGGCGAAGCGCGCGGATTTGTTACAAAGGGCGTTGAAGTCAGTGTTGGTTGGAGAAACAACGGAAATATGAAGCGATTGTGTTGGGGGATCGCCCGATGAAGAGACACGACAGATTGCGTACTCCATTGAACTGCCGAATACGGAAGGCTTGGATCTGAGCGTAAGAAGAACGGATAGGGCAACCCTTATGCAATGGTCGTACGGAATGCTTGCATTGATGGTCTTGATTACATTGTTACATGGAATGGAATGGCATGGTGGGGCAAAAACAGTGGAACTGGATTGGCGCTTCTTTGGCCGTGATGCATTTGTTTCGTTAACGGAGAGAAAGGCATATGATAGACGGAGCAGTAAACAAAATAGGACTTCAATCAAAAGGCAAATCCTTCTAGTCTGCGCTTCTGGTACTACATTCGATGACGGCTGTAATAGTCCCCTCATCGTTCCCTGCGGCAGATCGCGGCGTATTCAAGTGCAAGAAACAACGGCGCCACTGATTCATACCTACCGGCACCGTCCAGTGCATGATGCTCCCCGCAAACATTGCGAGCTATATAGATCCTAGCAAGATAGCCATGATGACGAAATGAGTATTAATTGACGTGCTAAAGCTTATAATGCCTAAATTTACTAGGATAGCGCGCTACTATTGTGACTTACCTTGAATTTGGGCTTTATGCGATTCGAAAATAGGGCCGGCATATAAGGCGTATATATTAATATGGGTCCTTAGTCTGCACTAGAAGGCGGCACGATCTATATAATATCTAAAGATCCTTATATTCGCTACGGATCCTATATAGACCTAACTCTTACGGAATCTACTCATAGGGTTGATAAGTACGTCAGAAAAGTAGATAGATTGACTAGATACTAGTCACTAATTAAAGGTTGTTTATTATAAGGACATACTTACATACATCAGCGTTAGTTATAATGATATGCCTTAGAAATATTCATAGCTAAACTTAGTAAAAGTCTTCCGATTGCTCTAGACTTGACTTCTCTTCTGACATTATAGGTAGTAAGCGTATATGATATGCTTAAAATAGAGACTTCTATATTACACGATGCCTCTATAGTCTATAGATATACTCATAGCGGGGAATGGTATTAAATCAAGTGAAAATTGAGCTATAAGGTAAAGAAGTGACAATAACGCTAACTAAGATGTTGCTATCTATATCCTCTAGCCATCTAGGAGAACAAAATCGAAATGTGATGTACGACCTCTTCTAAAAAAGAGTCTTAGAATACATAAAATTACAAGAAGAATTTGTATAATTTATGCAGTCAAAATCTCTAGCGTATTTGTCTTGTTTGTTACCTAATTGGGTACCTAGCACTAGGCCTAGGTTAAAGGAGGTAACCCAGAACCTAGTGCTGGGTCAAGATTTTGGACCCAGACCTGGCTGGGTCTGGGTCCCCCTGGGTCGCGCGCAAGCCTAGTAAAGCCTATCCAGCCCTTCTAACTAGCCAAATCATCCGCTATAGCCTATGCTACCTACTAGGGCCAGCATGACTAGCAGGGTCAGCAGGGCTAGCATGGTCTCTTGAATGTTTATTTTATTTGAGATATTGTACATAGCAGTTTAAACGTCTGTTTAAATCCAAATGGTGTGAGCCCGCCTTGACAAAGAAAATTTTCGGGCTGTGCAAAAGTGGGGCATTCCTGAACGAGGTCAATTAATTATGCCATTTTATATAGGCATGTATTTTCCTGGCTTGATGTTATCTTAATCATACTTCATGAGTTATACAGGGAGGATCAAAATCAGTTTCACCACTTGCATATGGAGATTCTTTCTCGAACCGTCTTTGAAACACACTATTCCTACTACCTTTGCCCTTGAACCCCTCTCTTGACAGCAATCCAGTATAGTTATAAATGACAGGCTCTTGTCTTTCTGGTTATATACTCTTCCTAAGCCCTACTATTAGTTACTCTATACTTCTACTACTCCTAAGATCTAACGCGTACTGCTAATGCTCTATCTTGCCTTTATATAGTAATATTGGTGACGGTAAGGCTACCGCTAGTTCTAAAATACAGGCACCTGATCTTAAAGGGAAACAACTGGATATTTTGAGCCACATGTACTCGTGTAACAAAAGAAAATGGTTAAAAGTTCATGAAAGCTAGGTGAAACAATACCACGTGGCGAAACTTATCTGTGTCGCTCTGAGATCGTCTGTGCAAATGTTTTTTGGATAGTGATATGGTTTCTTGAAGCAATAGGTCTCGTATCGGGGTATAAATCCTCTTCGCTGATGTTGGAAGTGATAAAATCCCGCAACGGTGGGAGGTTCACGGTGTTTATCACGTTGCTTTTCTTTCCGGGCATATCTGCATGAGACAAAACTCTCGGATGAGATTTCTTCAGGCCATCTTTATTGAGACTGGAGAGTTGGTATTCATTGTAGCCTCTTCTAGAAGGGCGGGTGTGTCGATCGTATGAGAACTTTTCATGACGAAGCCACCGGAAGAGCGGACGGAGGGTGAAAAGACTGCTGGCGGTGATTCCAAGACCCGTTTCGATAACGGACCATATCGCTATTTGGTAGGTAGATTCTTGACAATTATCAGCGTGTGCTTCGAGTGTTTTCATCATGCCAGCGACGGTGGCATCCGCCATCTGCTCTGCGGAGACTTACGTAGGAAATTGGTATCGGCATAGAAGCGGAGAAAGGGTATCCGGACTATGACCGCGACGCTCGCACTTTTTCATAAGTATTAGCGGCCACGACATAGAATATCAGAAATCATGCATATTCTCTTACATTGCGCCCATGCTGAGCATTCCTCCGACTGCAATTTTCGTCCGATAACTCATCTGCAGCTTCCAAATAAGAAATATTGGTAAGATCGCAAGCGTCAGGTCGGTTACAATTGTCAAGCAGCTGTAAACGTATGCGACTTTGACCAAATCATCCTTAGACATACACGTTCCTGTCTTCGAAGGATCCGCGTAATTCCAAAAGTACGAAACTGGATGGCAATCAAGAAGCAGGACCATCCAAAACATAAAGCCGACAGCTATTGTGAGTCCGATATTGCACAAGAGGATTATTCGATGGATTTTTTCGATAGTTAATCGAAGGAGGGCGACGGCGACAGATATTTTGGCAAGTACGGATGCCCAGATGTAGAAAATTTGACTGAGCCACCAATACTAGACACCGCCATCGTGGTTAGCAAATCATGGACCCGAAATTATAGATGGAGATATCATATATTTCCAATCAGTACCCACCAGTAGAGCTATTCGATAGACATCGTAGTTTGTGTAATCACTTCTATCACCGCCAGCCCCGTTCTTTGCCCCAACAATCGAGCACACGTTCAATCCCAAGAACAAGGCCTGTATTATCATTAGCACAATCACTATGCTTGTCTTCAACCGGGAACTTACTAGTGCTGCAAGCATAAGGACGTCATCCCAACCAAAGGCCCGGACAAGATAGAGTCGCACGAAGGTCCTCATCGACACAGTCACAATGGAAATAATCATCATGACTATGGAAATGATAAAGATGGCCAGACTTGGACCGGCTAAAGGCATTTTCGAACTCATTTTGAAGGGATCACGTCTGTCTGTTTGCCTTTCCTCTTTTTATGTCGTACTTACTTATTAGAACGGCTATAATGAGCCCTCTGATTAGGCAGTCGCTAATATTTTGTTGTCAGGGTCGCATCTTCGACAATGCGACCTTAAGAACCAGCCGACAACATGAAGAAAGAGGCAAATTTTCCCTACAAAAGAAAGAACTGGAGAGGTAAAGTTCGGGAGGGAGAGGGGGAAGTTTCAGAATCTGCGATTTGGCCATGGAACTAGGGATTCTTGAAGCGACGGTCTACGCACGAACCCTTTCGGAGCGGGGGTTTATTTATCAAGTTGATTCGCTAGTTCATCATTTAAGCTACCGAACCCAATACGAGTAGCAATGACACAAGGAATCACGCACCTAGGATACCGGAAAGGGAATCACTCCCGCTAGATGTCCGGCCGGTCTCCATCGGGTGCCACCCGAAACAGCGGAAAAACTGCGCTAAGGGGCTAAGCCCACTATCACGAACCCTAACTATTGGGCGTCTCTCCGTGGACTCAATACCCGAACGAAATGCCGGCAGATGAGCATGATTCTTGTGATTCGACTTGACCTTTCCACATTCAAAGATAGAGGCGTGGTAGTTCGTTAGGACGCTCTATGGCTTATAAGAATTGAACTTAGGCCCGAAACTGAACCTCGCATCTTGAAGCAACTCGGTAAGGAATAATTATTTGCACTAACAAGAAGTATGATGGGTAGAATCGCTGTTTTTTTTTTTTTTTTTTTATGTTCTTTCTATTAGCAAAATGCCAGATTCCAATCTGTGACCCAGCTTCTGGAAGAAGTTTCCGAGACACCGCCCCTCAATTTAAGCTTTTTGTGAAACTTCGGCCTCGGCTTCGTTTTTCTTTTTCTCTCCCTTTTCTGCACGTGCTTCGCTTCTTTTTTATTCGGCTCCATGTCCTGATGTGAAATCTATTTTCTGGGTCTGCTGTGAAGCTAGGGAAAAGTCAGTCTTGCCGTCGATTCAGACTTTAATTCTCAAGTCTAAACTAGTCGAAGTGATATTAGATCATTCCGAAATTAATATAATTTACTTCATTAACTGAGGATAACCTATATATCTCATATCAGCCCAATAGATGGCATGATTGTTGAGTTATTGCGTTGTAAAATATCAGCTTTGCTATGGTGTTTTGGGGTGGGCGGCTGGCTTACATGGGCGGCTCGCTTACCGAATACGTTACTAGCGTGACAGAGATTTCAATCACACGGTAAACGAGGCATCGAACCCATCTATCCCCCGTTTCCCAAGAAAATAGTGAAGGCCTCAGAATAGATATTGAAATCTCAATTTCCTATTTGCGTAACACCTATTTGCGTAACATACCAGGGATACGCCGTAAGTGATTTCCACTGCGCCACTTCTCTACCCTGCTAGCGCGAAGTAATACGCTGCATAAGCCTAGGGGCCGTACGACTTGAAGCCATTCCTTGAAAGGCCTTATGCGCTGTTCTAGGTTGGGTTCGGGTGCGGGTTGAAGGTCTTGACCCACATTGCGGGTTATGGCGCAGTCTACTCCGTAGATGCGAAGTCATTCCACGTGCTTTTAGGGATAAACAAAGAGTCTCTTCAAAACACCAAGGTCTAAAATAGCACAGATATTATGATAACTTAGATAACGATGCTCTAAAGACTCTCGAATCCACAAGATTATCTCGTTTAGGCGCTTAGGGATAAGCTTTAGACGTCGACCTGTCTTTTGCTTCTTTTGAGGTATCGTTCGGACAGAATCGTTGGCATATTGGGCTTGTCGTACAGTGCAGGCTATTCGAGACGCAATAAATGCGTAGGCATAGCCCTCGTCTCGTAGAAATCAATAATATTGGGGCAGATCGCGGGTACGCTCTGTATGTCGAACCATAAAGAGGAACAGAATTGGATACGTCACGTATAGTAAAATAAAGGGGCGGTATGTAAAAAATAGGATAAGGCGGTGAGAAAAACAACGTTTGTTCCTTTGGCACCCTATTATTATTCGTTTTAAGCTATTCCTACCCACCCAGCATGCCAGTATCGTTTAAAGCCCCCGAATCTCGTGTAACTAAGGCCTGCGAAGCCACCTAAGGTTTTAAAAAAAAGCCAAATTTATCGAAGATCGCGCAGGAATATATATTGTTTCGTATGAGGTGCTGCGAGGACGCGTCCACTAGGGTAAATAGACCCGTACTGCCCAAAAACCTATTAATAAAGCACTTCAAGGGTATCAGGAGGAAATTTTGACTCAGTGGCTATATAATATACGCGATCAGTATCTACTAGTGCCCCCTACGTTGCTAGAGAATATAGTAAATCTCTCGCTTTGTTACGGCCCCTGAACAACATGAGGCAACTCGGATGCCTAATCGGGTATACCAGGAACTCTATGAGAGGGTTTCCCGAGAACCTGCATGAAAGCCAACGCCACGTGATTGCACAAAGGAAGAAAAGGCACTCTCATGTAATTAACAAACTCTCTTCCTTAAGGATTAGTTCAGTCACAATCGCAGGGGTTGAAGTTCCCGTCCACATACTTGCAGTTCTATTTGATCCCTTACCTGGTCCAACTCCAGCTCTAACACCCACTCGCTTACATGGCCCACCCGCTTACATGGCCCACTCGCTTACCAATTACGTCATAACATGTGGTTCTCTCGGATGGAGGGCTATGATATAACCAGAAGTTGACTGTACTAGGGTATAAAGGCTTCGCCCATAGATCAGGTACGAGGGACCTCCTGTTCCTGGCGAGGCCACTTGTACACAATGGTTGGATTGCCCGTCAGACTGAAGGGAAGGACGACGGATCGGTCGTTGTTCAGCGCCAGCTCATAGTGGCCCGGGTACAGGATGCGGTCGCCCTCCTCGTCGGTCCGCGAGACGCTCTCGATAGGCACCGGAATGTTCATCAGCTGCGACTCGTGCGGTTCCACGTTGCCTAGGCGGTCAAAACCGATCAGCCACTTATTCGGGTACGGGGCCGGCCCCGCCGTCGTGTTAACGAAAAGCATCGCCGTATAGTCGGACGTGCGGCGGCCGTCATTGGTGATGCGCGCGGTGAAGTTGATGAACGGCTTGTGGCCGACATCGGTGTAGCCTGCATACGGCTGGCTCAGGAGGTCTTGAATGTTAAACGTGGTATTGCCCTCAGCGGGCGAGATCAAGTGCCCCTTCTGGTGGTAGCCGGATATGCCGGGCATACCATGGTTGGCAGAGGAGGCTAGCTCCTCGCGGAAGGTGGTGTAGAAGAGGCCGTGGCCAAATTCATAAACCGGCTTCCCGCGGTACCAGATATAGGTCTGGCCGGGGTTAGAGCCGTTGGGCCGCAGGTACATGTCAATCTGGGAGAACTCGTTCACATACTCTGCCGGATACTGTGTGCTCGGTAGCCGGCCAGCTGGAGCGCGCTTGCCGGTGATGAGGTCGACCAAGGCCGCACCGCCCGACTGGCCTGGGTAACCGCCCCACAGGAGGGCCTTCACGTTCGGGTTGTGCTTGAGAGTCGAGTCATCCAGTTGGCCGCCGCCATACGAGGCAACGACCACTGGCTTGCCCAGCTCAGTTAGGCGATGAATCAGCTCCAGCTGGTTGCCGGTCCAGGTCACATTCTCACGGTCGAGACCTTCCGCCTCGACAGTACTGTCGATGCCGCCGACATAGAAGATCACATCGGACTTCTTCGCCGCCTCAAGCGCCGCGGGGAATCCGGCCGTGCTGTTCGAGGAAATGCCGGTGCCATAAGCGTAGTTGACGTTGAATCCCGCCGAGCGGAACGCGTGCAGCGGAGTGATAAAGTAGGGAGCCGGGCCGTAATAGTTGCCCTGCATCTGGTTGGTCGCGTTGCTCCAGGGTCCGATCACCGCAACGTTTCGCGTCTTTTCCGGGAGCGGAAGGAAGTTCTCGTTCTTCAACAGGACAGTGGCTTGTACAGCCGCCTCATATGAGACGTTCCACGCATCCGTCCGCTCCACATCAGACCAGGACAGGTGCCGGTACGCGCTCTCGTTGCCATCAAAGTAACCCAGGCGCACCAAGGTAGTATAGAGACGGAGGGGGCCGCGCTCGATCTCACGCCGAGAGACCTGACCATCTTCCAAGGCCGTTATCAAGTGCCGCTGGTACGTCTGTCCACAGTTAATGTCGCAGCCAGCTTGCATGCCATCGGCGGCCGCGGTCGACCAATTGGCCGCGTACCCATGCGGGTTCCAGGCCACATAGACTGCGTCGCAGTCAGAGGTGACGTATCCATCGTCAACAAAGTCAAAAGTGTCACGTAGTAGGGTCTGAAGGAAGTAGGAGTTTGTGCAGCTTGGCACGCCATTTACGGCGACGTAGGCGCACATTACACTGTACACCCTGGCATCGTGGGTAGCAACACGAAACTGCGGCGTATAATACTCGGACAGGTCCTGCATAGAGATGACAAGGTCGTTGCCCAGCCTTGAGTGTCCGTGCCAGTTCTCGATATCGTAGCCGGCGAAGTGCTTGGCAGTGGATGCAATCTGGAGGGTCTTTGGCTCAATCCCACCCTGGAGGCCAGTGATGTACTGGTAGGCGTAAGTGGAGGTGAGACAGAACGTGTCCTCGCCCGGAGTTTCCTGGCCGCGACCCCAGATCGGGCTGCGGAATCCGTTGATGTTGGGGTCGTAACCGTCTAGACCGAACCGGCCATCGTTGTTGAATGCACGCCCCTGTATTCCGATGATATCGCCAATGTGATGGAACAGTGTGCGGTTGAGCGAGGCTACAGTGAGGATGGCTTGGGGGAAGGACGTGGCCCAGCTGAAGGGACCGGAGCTGGCCCAGTCGGCGTGATCGAGGCCGTGCAGAGTCTCACTCCAGACCTCGTAGTTAGGCAGTCCCAGCCGGGGAAGCCCAGGAATGGTGTTTCCAGTGTGATTGAGGAGCTCGTCCAAGGTGAAAAGGGATATGAGGGCGGCAGCACGCTCGCTGGGGAGTGCCGAGGTATTGCACACCTGTGTGGGGGCTAACGGCCCCGTCTGGCAGTCGGGGAATCCGCGCAACCGAGGAGTTTCGAGAGTCTCCGGATACAGATTGGGTTGCGGCTCGACATTGTAGTTGACATAACTCGTGTTGTCCTGCGCCAGACTGGGCAGCACCATGGCCGCCGCCATAAAGGCCGCGGCGGTAGAGATGAATGCGGACATGATAGACAATTGACCGCGGAGGCGGAGAATGTTCAATCGAATGTGTGCTCCGTGCCGTCGCAGTCGATTGCCTTAATACGTTCGCGTCAAATTTAGCCGCCAGGGGAATTTCAGGTTCCATATTATATTCCGGCAAGTTTAAGCCCTCTCTTGCTCCTTCTTTCTCCGCACTTACCGGCTCCGGGGACTGAATGAAGCAAGTCCCCTGGCCGATCCACAGTAAACATAGGGATCCTTGACCGATTCGTTACGTATTATTGCGGGGCGGTCAATTCTGCGGACGTATAGAACGTTTCATCCAGACTATTTAGGCTGAATAGGCATAAGAGAGCCCGCTATGACCAACAGGCCGGCATCTCATCCGAACGTAAGCAGAAGATGAAGAGTGAGAACACCCTCAGTCTCTGTAGCCGTATGGCTCGAGGAGCACAGCATGTGTTGCTGTTGGCGTGAAACGGATTCTACCTGAGGATCAGAGGCACATGCTTGTTGATGGAATTGACGGTGCTATCGATAATGATGATACTGTTATGATACAAGGCAAGTTCACTTCAGGAACATAGCTGCAACATCGGAAATAATTCCTGCATTATCATATGAATAATCAAATTGATTTCAAATCAATTTGGACTTCACATTACATATATAGCCTCTTGCATCTCATCACGAAGAACAATCGATCAACTTCCCTCCAAACTATAATAGGTTATGAGCCCGGGAGCAAACCTCTAAGGTGCCTTTTCTACTCATTTAGAGATAATATCATCTATCTTAGATTAGATATTTAACGTAATTCCCAAGCGAGTGACCACACCGCTGCGATCGCCTCAACCACATCACCACCTACTATCTTTGACCACCCATTATGCCACCAAAGCGCACTAAATCCACTCGAAATTCAATTCAATTGAACAAGAGAGCAGGGTCTTATTAGCCATCCAAGCTTACCGGAAAGAGGAAATTCCAGGTGTTCTTGAAATAGAGCGCCGATTCGATATACCTTGCACAACTCTATGGAGCCGTTTTGAGGGCGACGGCTTTCGACTAGAAACACAGACTAAAAACATAAATTGGCCCAAAATAAAGAAGACTCTCTTATTAAGTGAATTCTTCCTATGGATCTTCGCGGAGCGGCCCCCTGGCTCGCTGCTGTGCAAGATATCGCTAATCTTCTCCTTTCAAAGTGCGGCGATAGCCCTCCTCAATCTATACCTATAGTCATGGCCTTGTAACAACCTAACTGAAAAGGAATTAGGACTTATAATAGACACTATAATGTAAAGCTTAGTTTGTGGAATATAACAATACCTTCTAGTTTTCTTTATCCTCCCTGGTTGCTGAGTTTAGACTGCTCCATAACTAAACTGCGGCAAAGATCGCAAATTTGGCCCCCAAATTTACCCACGGTTAGTTGTGGTTAACCGCAAAAGCAAAAAAAAAGATTACTATAGTAATGTATTTTATCTAAGTATTAGAGTGTAAATCCCCTTACTATAGTTAGTAATATTAGGTTTGCTTTTGTAAATTCTATTGCGAATGACTAGTTAGAGTGTTTCTCTATTAAATTAATATCATAATGTAAGCTCTCATAAAGCAACTCTAGTTCTTAAGACTAATTGTGAAGATATATGTTTGCGCTTTGGGTGGCTTCGCTACCTTTAACTAGAGAACATCAAAAATAAATTACTGTCAGGATTTTAGGTGTATGCAATTGAATATGCGTATATTAAGAGCTTCCAATTCAACATGGAAGTTTCCGTTAAGTTCTCGTTCTGTTATCTCTCACCGCCTTTCGTTTGATCTTCCAATTATCTCTTATTTTTCTCACTTCGGTATTCACTATGATTCAGCCGACATAACCATGGTTATTAGGCCTACCCCTCACTTTACCCCTCACTTTTCTCGACCGAAAGGAATGCTTATCTCGGCCGAACGCAATATCCTTCTATATGGCTCAAAACCCATACTGAATTGAACAAGAGCTTTCATCTGAATTTTCCTCCCAATATCCTTTCTCTCTCTCTCCTAAAGGGCAGACCAGGGAGATTCCTTCTATTATCTATTTCTCTCCTGTATATCTTTATCTTTATTATCTTTATCCATCTACCAGGGGTGAGCTACTACGCTGTAGTAGTAGCCTCCCTCTACGGAAGGGCAGTAGTTCTCTTTAAACATCTGCACTTAGGACAGCCTGCCGCATAGGACCCTAAGGCATTTATTTATTTATCTTGTCTATATATTACGACCTTCTACAAATGGTTATATAGGTTAGTAGGGAGAGGGAGCATAGTAAATACTGAAGTGAGAGATAAAAGTGAGGGTTGGAAAATCAGATGGAAGACGGTGAGAGATGGCAGAACGAGAACTTCCAATGTTGAGTTGGAAGCTCCGGGTAAATGCATATATAAATGCAAATATACCTAAAATCCTGACATTAAGTGAAGATTTTGACGGATCGGGAAAGAATGCCCACCCACGACTATTAAATTTCAAACAAGAATAACTTAGCGAAATTGAATATAGGAGATAATAAAAATGGAGGATTGATACTACCAACCCCTTGCCTGATTTTTCGGGCCACTATGCCCTAATAGGATTAGCTTTATCAAAATCCTTTATCGCATTCTTCACACCTTTAAGTTCTAGGACGCGATCGCGGGCGCGAACAAAGAGGAGAGAGCGGGTAGAGTTATACGACGGTCTTGAAGGACGTAATGGCTAATAGAGGGCATGGAGGGTATAGAGGACGTAAAGGCGCGGTTGCCACCGCGGTCGGAGATCGGAAAATACTACGTGACAGTTAGCGTGGTTATAGGGGTATCAAATAATTAAGATAGACATATATTAGTAGATATTAATGTAGATAGCCTAGTTAAATGAATAGCGAGCGATTTATCTGCGCAAGAAAAACTAAAATTCAAAATCTCTGTAGCTAAAGAGAGTAGAAATCTTCATGACCACGTTGAATTGAACCGGCAGAAAGTCAGGTGCCTAGGAAATCAGGCAGGAGGGGGGGGGGGGTGGGTTGGTAGTATCAATCCTCTAAAAATGTTGCCGTAGAGCCTAGAAGATTCTCTATCTAGTAGTTTTGATTATCTATTATATCTATGATGCTAGATGTGGTAAGAGCTTCCATTTATATGCAGGTTAGACTCAATAACTAGAGACGATAAAGAAAACTAGAGGGTATTGCATGGTTTCATTCCCTAAACTAAGCTCTATATTATAGTGCCTATTATAAGTCCTAATTCCCTACACTCAAGCCTCCTCAATATGGCCAGTCGCCTGTTTTTCACCACTGGCGATGTTCTCGGCCTCCCGTATTTCATTGATGATCTTCCTGGCCCGCTTGCGCTGTTGGTGCGCCAAGCCCGAGACGTTGAAAAGAATGTCCATTTCTTCCAGCGAGAGACCTTTTGTCTCAGGCATGAAGAGGAGGACGACTACGACGCCAATCACGACCGACGTACCGAACAGAAAGAAGGTGCCATAGGTAATGTTTTTAAACATGTATGGACTCGAGTAGACAATAATGAATTGCCCGAGCCACTGGGTACAGGTAGTGAACACCAGACAGACCGACCGGATGGCTGTCGGGAAGACCTCGGAGCTAGTCACAGTCAAAAGGAGAGCACAAATAAATAATAACGAAGAGTATTACTGACCAAAAGATCCAGGGAATGCCGTTCCAGGACATGGCGTAGAAAACAGAATAGATGTAGACCATGACAATGGCCACGTAGGATGCAGCAGACTTCGGGGCGGTGGAATGGAACGATCCGGTCACTTTGGCAAAGGTGCCGAGGTAGAACATGGCCACAATTGCACCGCAAGAGCCAATCAGTGTGGAGTTACGTCGGCCCAGACGATCGATTCCGAAGAGCATGAAGGCCAACGTGGCGAAGCACTTGACCAGGCCAAAAACGCCAGTCGCCAGAAGACTGACGCTTGTACCTGAGAAGCCAATTGACTCAAAAATCTCCGGAGAGAAGTAGTTCAGGGCATTGATACCAGAGAAGTTCTGCAGCATCATGAGAGCCATGCCCATAAACAGCCGGTTGCGGTTGCCGGCCTTGAACGTCTCAGCCAATTTTCTGACGAGCGACCGGTTGGCACCCTGCTCATCTTCACGCTGCAATTGCTCCTTGATGGTATCCACCTCCCACTGAATGTACTCATCGTCTGCAGGCATGTTCCGAATATGGCTGAGGACACGGAGGGCTTCGTCCTCGCGGCCGGCCTTCATCAGCCAACGGGGAGACTCGGGTTGCAACAGCATCAACAGGATGAGAAGGGTGCCAAAGATAAACTGGAGACCAAATGGAATCTGCCACTGTGCACTAGAGGTACTGGGGATGTTCTGGTTCACACCATAGTTGACCCAGAAGCCAATCACAAGTGCAAACTGAAGGACTACTTCGAATAGACCGACAAGACGACCCCGGATCGCCGGTGGGGAGGATTCGGAGATATATTGAGGGACGATAAGCGAAGAAGATCCGACCGCAAGTCCTAGACTTTGTTATGAAACCTTGACCCAATAAGCTCACCGGTATACGCACCTGTCAAGACCCGTCCGCCATAGATCATGCCCAATGAGCCCTTGGATGCCATTTCGAGAATGACTCCCAGGTCAAAAACTAGTCCAGCGAGGATTAACGGGATCTTGCGGCCGAACCGCTCGGTAAGGTAATAGACAATGATTGCACCGAAGAAACAGCCCGCCTGAAAGGTACTGACGATGTTCGCTTGCAACGCGGCAAGAGCATCGCCTGTCGAATCATCAAGCCCAAATTCCCTCTTGAATGCAGGCAAAGTGATCGAGCCACCAATGAAAGCCGAATCGTAACCGAACATGGCCGAGCCCATCGAGGCCGACAACGCTAGAGCATAGACGCGCCAGTTGTAGACAGCATCTGGTGCAGCATGCGCGGAAGAGTCTCTCATCGATAACCAGTTCCGCATTGTGTCGTACCTTTTGAGGTTCAGAATGAGAATAAGATGAAAATAGATGTGGCAAAGGCACGGTGAGGTGCGAGTCAGAAAAATAAATCTGTGGCTGGGAATGGGGACTGAGGGTCTCACGCGAAGATTTATATGTTTGCCCGCCGTGGTGGAGCCGGCAAAGCGAATCTGGGGTCCGGGGAACGCTTAAGCCCCAGAAAGGTGACCTCGTGGATCATCGTTTCTGAGTGAGCAAGATGCGGGCGAAAAGGGATGGGAGTTGGTGCGAGCGGGAAAGCGCTTTCCCCCGGTGGTCTAAACCTTGTTTAGGGTTCGATCTTCTATCGCCACCGGAATCAGATTCAGTGGACAAAAGGTAAATTATCTGAAAATAATTCACGTTTTCAACCCCATCAGCCCATAAATAGCCTAGCGGACTCGTATTTATGCGTCGTCGCGTCGTGGCAGTTGGTTTGCAAGGGAGGGCCAGATGGCAATTCGATCACCCGGAGTCTTTTGAGTTTTTTCTGGGGAAAAGCTTAGAGGGAAATCTTTATTCCCCGCGGCATATCCTCGTTGACGCGGGGTTTACATTTGATGGTGGGGCTATGCGACAACTTCAAAGCATTCTTGCGGAGGTATCTCGGTGTCAGGAAAGTCGCAGCCATCTATATTGGTTCAAACCACTGACATAGCTAATCTGAAGGCAGTGACGTCTTGAGCGGTAGTCGTGCCGTAGCTGTGAGGCCAGTGCCCTGTATTAGGTGGATAGTGTCGGAACACCAATGTCCTATTCACTGGGAAGAAGGATCATCCCAAGGCATAGGTATTCTGCAATATTCAATTGTCCCGGGAGCGAATATTGAGGCCATAATATGCCGGGAGAGTAGTGTATACACATCAACCAGACGACCTTGATGCCGTTTCGGTCGCCTGGGATTCCCTCAGTGACCGACCGTCCACCTTCTCTCACGGGACAACTCATGGCGTAATGCCCATCAGCTCTACCATTCTCACAACTGCTGCTAGCGCCAGGCTCTTTTGCACCCTGCTTTGACCGCGGAAAACCATGTGGAATTTGTGGGTGGATGCTGAATAACTCCATCCTGGAGAGCACTAAGTTAGTGGTGAGTGAACCACCCTCTCGTTCCTGAACAAAAGGAAAAGAGCCTATAGCATATTTAAGTCCAGTGGTATTTCCCCCGCCTCTAGTGAGCTCATATAGAGCAACAGTCATTGCCAGACTGTTAGAATGATAGCATCATCCCTTTATGTGGTGTCTGGTGTTAGTCTTCCTCGAGGAGACGAAAGCGAGTTTGCCTTCATTGTGTAAGTGCGGATCCAAGTTTCGACCGCACAACCGCACTACCACGTCAAGTTCAGGGCATGACGGAATACGAAAACCATCCGACTTCTTTTTATCAAGCTTGCACTCAGACCAGAAACTGTGGTATTTGTCATGTTCTAAATTTACCATTTGATGACTTTGAAGAATCTATGAATTGGATTAATACAACATCTGTGAAATTGCAACACGACAGAGAAGAAAAAAAATAACAGACGATTTCCTTCAAACAGGCCATCAAAGCATAGAAGTCTCTAATTCTGAAAATATAGCTTCAGTTAGCTTGGCCCAACGCACTACCAGCATTGGTATTGCACATGTTTTCAAATTCAGAGAGAACCATCTTTGCAAATCCTGGATCTTGTATCCTCACATCTCTCTTCCCTCGCTCACCGTGAAGGTTCTCAATTGTTCTGGACAGTTGCCTGTTCATTGGGCTTTGCGCATCGACGGGCCTTTGAAATTTCACTGGCTCAAATTGCTCTCCAATCTCGAGCTCTTTCTTTTCTCGATGATTGGAGCCTTGCAAACTTTTCACGCTGTATGACGCTGTTTCTCCCATGTAATAGACAGCTAGTTACCATCAGCAATTCATCTTTCGAGTTATAGATAATAATATTTGCAGTTCTCTCACTCTTGAATGGCAACATCGCAACTTTTCCCAGAAACACGGCCGATATGAAGCCCACAGTTTGGGCAGCATCAATAGCCATAACACGTTTCGATCTTTGGCTTTCTTCGCTTGTCTTCGCAACTGCGCCGCTATTACCCTGGTTGTCAGTACTTTTGTTAGCTATCGTTGGAAGTAGGCTTCTTTGATAAACGACTCTTACCTCTCTGCCATTATACGCTTCCGCGATATGCGAAACGGTTGGTTTGGCGATCGATTTGATCAAGGCTTTTCCCACAGTCTTGACGGCCACAGACTTCACCACCGCAACTTGAGATGCCGAAATCTCTGAAACGGCGTCTGTTTCATGGTCCTGGCTGCACCATAATCGTTGCTCAATGCTATATTTTCATTGAATTAAAAAACGAGACCCTGAGGAAGCGACAGAAACAATGACATACAGCTCTAACTCCGACTGCCGTAATGCGTTTGATCTGATCAAGACCTCCGCTGCAACAGCAGAAAGCTGAATGTATCGTTTGTTCTTGAGTCTATAATTTGCAAGAGTAGATTTCACAATACTGCAAGGCGTTCGTCGCAAATGACGATGGATTGAGGCGACGGCATTTATCAGACCATCCTCCCTGTTGATGCGATCTTTGACTAAACTCACAGCATTTTGTGTCTCGGCTCGATAGCAATAGCGAATCGCTTGGGCCAATGTCTCACAAGAGAAGTCCTTCTCATGAATAGGCGGTGGTCCAACTCCAGCTTGAAAGACGGCGGCAGACCAGAATGGCCGACTATTCTGAAGTTAACACGTAGGAAATCGAACAGACTACTTCATCTCTTACTCTTGAAGAATTGGTAGCGAAACAATCGGCTTTCCATGACGCAGTCCCATTGATAGCGTAGGAACGTTGCCATGAGTAAATAGAACATCGACTTGAGTTACTAGCCATTCTATACAATTTAATTAGCTCTTTCTTCGCGAAGGCATGAGGTCCTTACCTGTCGGTACGTTAAATAACACAAAGAGATCAGGGCTCTCTGAAATCCCGCACACCGGGTGGAATGTACTAGGTAGAAGAAAAGCAAAACCGTATTCATTGGAGGCCTCTTTGATGCATCGAACAAATCTCTCGGGATTCCTTAGTAGACAGATGTCTATCGAGATGAATATTGGTGCGACTGCAGATTTGAGAAAGCGGGCAAGATCGTCGGGTGGTGTGTATGGAACTTGCTTCTCTTCGGCAATATAGCCCGCGATATCTATCATGGATATTAGACGGTACTTCGAATCTTGTGGAGATGGGAAAGTACTAATTCCGTTGCCCCAGTTTCCTGGCTTGGGGATTAGAGCAGATGGGAAAAGATATGTGTGGGGAACATCAAAACGTCGCAGCATATCTTCGCATCCCTCAATAGAAATCCGATGCAAGCCCAGAACTGCTCTTCTAAAGTAATCAACTACATGGTAAATCCTGAGGACTAGTCAGTAATTAGCCTCATGACAAGAATGAAGCCCACTTACTCATGCCAGACAGATTTTTCAATCAAGAGGTGAGACAGGTAATTCTGAGCCTCGTGATCAACCTCATGACTTCTGCTAATATGTGCCAGTGGATGGGGAAAGTCCCTTGTTGGGGTCCAGGGCGTAGTTGAAATTATGTGAAGCGGAATTGACAAGCGCTCAGCACAGTGAATATGGGCATGAGCAAGTGGTGTGGCGATGATCAATTCTGCGAGAAAGGGCTTCTCCTTCCACACCCCTGGATGGGTACAAGCAATCCAACAAGCCTTCAGACTGTCTATTAGTATTTTACTGCTCTTCTGAACTTCAACTCTCCGGGAGCTAGCCAAGCCGGGCATGAGACCAGAATCTCGTCTCTATGTTTTTTGATCAGTAATTTCTTTCTACTACACCGGACGACAAAATGCCGTTCACTTACAGCAACGGGGTGCTCTGGGTCACTGCTAATAGAGAAGAACTCAAGGCCACGTTTCATGACAACGGACTGAAAGATGGAATGGATCGCAACCCTGACACGGTGACCGTGGCGTTGCAGTTCTTGACCCACGAAGATAGATAATTTTACCTCATCTGGAAATATTTCAAATGTTAATGTCAGTCGTCGGTAGAGATTGCTTGCTGGTCTGCAAGTACCGTGTGTTCTTACCTCTACTTCCCACAAGCATGAGGACAATGTCCAATTTAAGGGCATCGTTTTCGGATGTATTTTCAACGCAGTCATCTGGATATGAGTTTGAGCTTGGCCTGGCAGAAATTTCGATAACTTTAGGACGATGGGTGGGCGTGAGGATGGTTTGCAGGATGGCTGAAGTACGCGACCTAGCACTGATATCTATACTGAATAGACTGCGCCATAACCCGCGAATGGGTTCTGGAATCAAAACCTAACCTAACCCAACGCGGGTTTTGGGTTCTGCACCTAGAACCTAACCTAACCTAATAGGTTTTAAATCTAAAGTTAAAAACCCGTAAATAACCTATTTCGACCTATTCTTATATAAAATCCTAGTCTTAGCGTATATAATTCGGCTAATTCATCTTAATTTAATACTATTTTTTACACTTATTTTTGTAACTATAATAATAATTTATCGACTTCCTCTAAAATATATTAGTAACTTTAAGAAATTCACTTAAATATATATTTATTAATACTAGTAATTAGTTATTTACGTAGTTTTAATATAATATAGCCCTAGAGTTATAGTGGAAACCTAATATATTCTAAGAAGCTTATATTATTGTAGAAATATATATCTATTATAGAGCGAAGGTAGTGCGCTCTTTTAAAGATAATAAATCTTCTCTACTTTACTTACGTTACGCCTATAAAATATACTTTTTTCTCTAATAAGTAATTCTTTATAGCCTATTTTATTTTAAATATATTTTATTTAATCCTTAAGCTATATTTATTAGTCGTAAAGTAGAAATAAAGTTAAAAAGCTCTAGTCTTTATGAAACTTTTTTAGTTTAGAGATAGTCGATATAGGTTAGGTATAGATTATTTATAGGTTTTAATAGGTTTTTTATAGGTTTTAATAGGTTTCTATAGGTTCTTAATAGGTTCTTATAGGTTATAATTAGACCTCGGCAAGGACCGCAAGGGACCGGACCAGACCGCGGACCGGACCGCACTATGCAGGGCCCGGTCCTAACTTTTCAAGGACCGGCACGGTCCCAACTTTTTAAGGACCGCACCAATGCGGTCCGGTGCGGTCCTGCGGTCCTGTAAACAGGACAAACATAGAAAACCCCGTGATATGCATATTTTATGTAGAATCTGTAGGTATTTTTCAGTATTTTACTTTCATTCTTTATAAGGAATAGTCATAGCTGATGCCTACTGAAAAAATTGAAGAGGATTTTTGCAGAAATCACTTGTGTAGATGATTTATGATTTATGTAATAAACAAGATTTTAACCTCTAATGACCCTTTGTCTCTACTAATTATATACAAAATCCTCATCATATCTCAATCTCTTTGGAATCCGCCCTGATGAACGCCTCTGGATATCAAAATCAGGTAAAGGGATCTCATCATCATCTGGCTCAGTAAGCTGATCATCAACAGCCCTTCTTTTCCCTAGCGCGCGTAAACTAGGTCGCTCAATAGATACTTCAACGGAAGCGTCTATTATAGGATCTTCCTCATCATCGCTGATAGGATCATACTCCTTAGTCTCTTGCTCAGCATCATCCTGCTCCTTCTTTGTATGCCTCTCTTGGGTGGAGAGAAACTCATCCACTAGCGCAAGCTGCTCCGACTGGATATCAAATCTTGTTGTACACATAAACATCATTAGATCTTGAATAGTCTGTGGTCTTAACGATCCCCGGCGATAGTGGCATATATCGCGAGCAGAGTTGAAAAGCCTCTCTACCCCAGAGCCACTAGCTGGAGTTGTAAGGATATCTCGGGCAAGGCTTGCGAGGATAGGATACTCTGCCTCATGAGCCTTCCAGAATACTAGTGGTGTTGATTGGACAGTACCTAGAAAAGTATTAGATTAATAAAAGTAATCATATAGGAGGGAGAGATATTAAACTTACTACTTCCAAGATACCTTGTGAGTTCATCTGAAGTGGTCGGTCTTGACTGGAGAGATGTAGTAGGTCTCAGAAGGATATCAATGTCAGAAATATCGTTGCTCATTGACTGGATAGTTGATATTGACTGTGCCTCTATATGACGCTGCTGGTAAGGCTGGACATAAGTCTCAAGGGACTGCTTATACCGCGGTGCCCAGTGTGTCTCCCATTCTAGTGTTAAGAAGAATTCAAGCTTATTGCGGGGACCTAAGATAGTTCCAATTGCATAGAGATCATTTGGAATATCATCAGTCCTGCCGTAATATTCCGTAAGCTTATCGCGCCCATGCTCTAGCGCCAGCTTCATTACCTTCTTCCACCCGACTTTCTTTCGTGCTAGCTGCGCCTTTGCCTTGTCAACGTGGGTAAATAAGGCATTGTAGATCCCAAACACATTATGGATAGTCACATCAGTTGTAGCTGATAAAGATGAAGTGAATTTAAAGAAGGGATAGGTAATTGACAGTAGATAGTCAACCTGTCGCCATTCATCTTTATCCATCTTCATATCCGTCAGATTGAACTGTGCACAAAATCCATCAAATGTAGTCTGTAGCCGACGTGCGCGCCGAAGCATAAGAAATGTGGAATTCCAGCGTGTTCGGACATCTTGGATTGGCATAAGTTTCGGTTCTTTTGTCTGCAGTCCGATAAAGCTCTCGCGGCGCTGGGGGCTTTTATTGATATAGACTGTAATCTTCCGAACCTAGAGGAGAATGAATAGTTAGTATTAGATAGAAAGATAATAGTGGAAAGAGGGAGGTAATATACTTTATTCAGGGTTTGCACAATCTGTCTGTTCTCTTGCCGGGCGCTATATCTCTGATCGGCCCATTCCATCTCTTCCCTATCATTCAATGGGTTCGCATCCATCTGACCAAGGAGCTCCTTGAGACTGAGCTGTATAACATGTGCAATACATGGTATACGAATAATCGGTATATGACTAGGCAGCTCAAGAGACGAAACTGCCTCTTCGAGAGTAGTCAGTAATGTATCGTTATTCGATGCATTATCAGTAGTGATCGTAAGCACGCGGTTGGTAATTTGGTGCTTCTCAAGTAACTCAAGTAGTACACTACTTAGATAAGCGCCTGTATGGGAGCCACGTAGAGGTTCAAAGCCGAGTAAGATCTCACGGTAGTTCCACTCAAGGTCAATAAAGTAGCCTGTGACTGCCATAAAAGCCTAGCGAAAAGGGGAGGTCCAGCAATCTAATGCTATAGAAAGCTTGGCGCCCTCTGGGAATGTTTGCAGTAGAGAATCCTGACGTTCCCTGACTGTCTCCTGAAGATGCCGACGGATAGTCCTAGCACCAGGAATTTCAGGGATAGTTGGGGCAGACGAAGCTATTTCGATAAGGGCGCGAAATTCAGGGTGCTCAACGAGCTGAAATGGTAGGCGTAAAGCAACAATAAAGGTAGTTAACCTATCCATCCAAGCTCCTGGTGAAAAGACCTTTTTGCGAGACGGAAGGTTTGCCTAGAAATAATCATCTTAGTTAGTATAAAATGAGCTATATAGATAATATTCATACCCCATTCGAGATCATCTTTCTGATATCATGTGTTTTAGTCTTTCGCTTTTGACAGGTAGCGGCCTGTAAGAAATGCCTATTCATAGTAGACGTTCCCCGGTGCCGGTCGGCAGGATGAGCAAGGATATGATCACACTGCTTACACATCACCTTAGGGGATCCATCAGAGATCGTAGCAACCTGGTGGAAGTGCTCCCAAGAGCCTGCCTGTCGTTTACCCTCAAAGATATTTCGTTTTGTTGCACTTCCGTACTCAGTTTTTAACCACCAGGCGACAAAATCTTCGTTAAACATCTCTGTCCAAAGGATATACTTCTTCCCGCCACATGGCCCAACACGCTCAAGGGTTTCTGGAATCAGGATAGGTACTACTGGCCGTGTGAAAGTCACACTTGGAGTAGAGGTTGGTGTTTCGTGTCCGTCTAGGTTAAACGGCCCATCAGATGTAAGGAAGGAGAGTGCATCCACAGGGTTATCTTCAAAGATGGATGAGGGATAGTTATCGGAGAATTGGGATGCGTGGCTCTGTGACATATTGATAAATAATATGAAAGAGAAGGTAGGTAGTAGGGCTTGAGAGTTATAGGAAAGACATACAATTCTCTTTTTATCTAGACAAAGAAATAATAGGGGGTACCAATACTGAAGAAAGTGATAGGTAAATAATTTGAGATAGAACGAACTAAATTATAGACCGTGATTGGCTGATAAAACCTACCCCGCTATGATCCCTGCGGTCTAAGACCGCAGGGACCGCCAGGAGACCGCAAAGACCGCATAAGGACCGCATAAGGACCGCAAAGACCGTCAGAACTTATTAGAACCCACAAGCAACCCAATCCGCACTGACTAGTTTCTTTTCTGACAGCCGTCAGAAATCTAGTAGGAGTATCAACAGTTTCTAGGCCGTAGCTTCTAACGGCCGTCAGAAAAACTAGTAGGGATATCACCAGTTTCTATGCCGTAGATAGCCTTAATTCTGACGGCCGTCAGAAATATAGTGGGGATAGTAGTAGACACGACACTTGTAAACGTATGTGTCCTCCTACCATAAAATATATATCTTCGCATTCTCACAAGTATATTCTAAAATACTTACCACAACGATCCGAAATTCAAACTTCATTAGTAATTAACTTAATACGAAGCTTCAAGAAAATAAATACGAGGTGATTTCACCTATTTTGTTAATTGGTAGACCTGATTTATTATTAGTATTCGCGTATATACCAAAACAGTGTTTAATAACAGTAAAAAACGCAGCTGAATAATCGGTTTATACGGCCAGAAAAGGAAGGTCTTGGCATAATTATGAATTTGCGGGGGACCGCACGGGGGACCGCAAAGGACCGCGGGGGACCGTGGTGCGGTCCTGACTACTTTGAAAAAAGACCAAAGACCGCATGGTCCGGTCCCGGTCCTAACTTTTAGGACCGGACCCGGTCCTTGCCGAGGTCTAGTTATAATAGGTTCTTATAGGTTCTTGATAGGTTCTTATAGGTTAAAATAGGTTAAAATAGGTTAGGCCCACTAAAAATACCTACGCTAAACTAATTATATAAGAAATATAAGAGTTATTAACGTAATTCACAAGCCACCCGGCCACACAAGCCACCCGGCCACCCAACTAAATTTACGCGTCCCAACGCGTCTCTCCTATTTTCTACCAACCACCATGCCTCCAAAACGCGCTCAATCAAGCCGTAATTCCATCGAACAAGAGGGCCGTCTTTTGTTAGCTATACAGGCTATAAAAAAGGAAGAAATTAGCTCTATTCGAGACGCAGCGCGCCAATTTAACGTTCCACGTTCTACGCTCGCCGACCTAGACCTCGCTTCGGGTCGGGTTTGGGTCCAACTTCAGGACCCGTACCCGCGGGTCGGGTTCATACCCAATACCCAAAACCCATACCCGTAGAACCCGTTTTGGCATAAATATCCTAATTTAGTCTACGCCAAGACGCACAAAACTGCTGATTAACCTTAATAAAATACCGTTATTTATATCTGTTCCGGTCACCTCTGTGGTTCTAATTAACAAAACCCTCTTTCCCTTATAAAAGATTAAGAAATTAGTCTATTTTCTAATTAATGAATAGCAGTAATCTTATATATTTCGCTTTAAGGACTATATGATATTATTGGGGTTGTAAAAACTAATATTTATTAAAACTATCATCAGAAGTGCGGAAATATATATAAACTATAGAATGTAGTACGTATATTTTTGTAAGGACAATATAATTCTATATTGTCCTTGCAATCCTATAGCTTATAAGGAATTTTTGATCTCATAATAATTAGTATATATTTATTAAGCTATACGTTAACTAATCGAATGCTCTTTTATCTTATTTAAGCTATTAAATGCGAAAAAGTGGATTGATTTTACCTTGATTAAAGACTTAGAAGGAAATTATTTAAGGAAAACAGGTTACCTATAGGTTTATAGGTTATAAGCGGGTTACCCACGGGTTACCTATTATATATATAGGCTATAAGCTAATAAGCATAGCTTTTATCTACCTATATAGGCCTTTATTAATATATTATATTTTTCACTTTAGAAGAATAGGGTACTACGAGGCCCTAGAATCTACGCTTATATATTGAAATTCTTTTATAAGACTTTTGACTATCCTTAGCTAAGTACTCGTTAATTATTATATCACTAGATATCTTAATTCACTAATACCTACGTATTATCTTTGTATGATATAGACCTTTTAGATAACCTTCAACTCCTCCTATTAGGTAATCTAACCCCTAATCTATCGATTAGCTAATAAAACTTCGCTTATATCGCGAGCTCTATAGGCGATACTAATTTTATCCTACTAGGATTACCTTCGCCCTCGGTGCCTAGTTCCCTCGAGAGCGTTCGACCTAATCGTATCACTATATATATAGTCTACTCTAAAATAATAAGTGATAACTATATATAATAGTGGCTATAAACGGACTTCGGAAGGAAGAAGTATATACACTAGGACTTATAACACTCTTCCGACGTTTAGCACCACTTTAATTAGGTAGCTAGGGCTAGTGATAGCGCGCTAAAGATTATATATAAGCATTACAAGGCTATCCTTAATCACCTAAGGCTTAGAAATAGAACTTCTATAATAAAGAAATATACTACTAGCTATAGTAGGAAGCCAAAAGCCAAAATATTAGGTAATTTATATAAGCGGTAAGCTAGCCTAATAGTCTATAGGATATACACTAATTTCGACTACTTCTATAGGCGCGGAGCCCTCTAGTCGATACTCTATTTAGCTAGGAAAAATAGGAATTAAGTCTTCTTTAATTTATTATTAAATCAAGGCTACCCTTCTAGCTTCTAGAGTATCTAGGGTTCCGTAATATAATATCTATAGCCTAAAATGCCCTAAGATAGCTTAATATTCTATCTATAAAGGTAGTATAGCGCTAGCTACGAAGTACGGTACTTAAACGCTATTAGAATATACTATAGAAACTTCCTAAAGATAGAAAGATTTCCATTGCCCTTAATTATTAGATATCTCCTTTCTAGTAGGTATTTATAGTAGTTACGGGCTACTTCCTTAATAAAGACTAGAATTATTAGGAGCTACTTCTAGGATTTAAGCCTCTTTATAGAATACACTTAGGTATTAACCTTAGCGCTATTCTATTCTAGCTTCTATAGAAGTATAATTTAACTAATTAAGTACTTATAATCACTATCGATAATATATCGAATAATAATACTTTAGTAGTAAGTATCTAAGAGACTATCTAGTCCCTTAATCTTAGCGATAATACTATAATCATTTACGTTCTATATATTGCCTATATTATCTAACTAAGCTTAAAGTAACTCCTAGGTTAGATAAAGGTAAATCTAAAGAACGATACTACTTAAATATAATAGACTAAATCCTAGGACTAATTAATTCGTTCTAGACAATAAAAATGGGAGATCATTAACACTTTAAATAAGGCTCGTCACTATTAAACCTATTAAAAACCTACTTCTAATCTATTTTTATAGCTTTGAAGCTTAGCTATCTTTATCAACGTAAGCCTATAGCGCTATAAAGCTTTCTATAGCCTCTAGATAGGTTCTATAGCTCTTATTCTAATACAAGATGTTCGTACGTAGTGGAATTCGACGTTTTTAATACTTCGTCGTACTAAACGACTATAATCCGTCTTAGATAAGTTTTACTTAAAGTATAGCTATCTATATCTTATATTTAACTAAGAGTAATAGCGTTAGATTAACTATTTACTCTAGATTATATAGCTATTCTTCTAGTTCACTACTATGCTATTAAAAACTAAAGATATTATTGTCTACCTTGTCTTTACTATCTATAATAAGCTCTTCGACTATCTTAAGAAGTCGATTAAGTAGCTTATAAGAAAGAAGATAGCCTAGAAGAAGCTTATACTTACCGCTCTCTATACGACGGAGGAAAAGCTTAGGCAGTACTATAGTAAGATAGATAATATTCCTAGTGATCTCTTTACTATTAGTATAATACTCGCACTATAATATAAGCTCTAGTTCTTCTAGAGTAAAGATTAGGGCCCTAAGTAGCTTACTAGATATAGATAAAGCCTCGTGGACTACTTTAAACTATATAAGTAACGTCTATTAGAGGAATAGATAGAGAACGGTGAAGGATCTTCTACGCAGAGTATAGGTATAGACCTTAATCGGATAATTAATCTAGATTAGACTATCTAAGCTAGCTAGTAGGACGAGCTTACAAGATATCTCGATAGTAGTAAGTATCCTTATTTTATTAATTACTAGGCTTATACTAATATATATACCTTAGTCACTGTTTCTAGTATTCTAATACGAGCGTTCTAGAAGGAGAACTAGATTATATTCCCTATATTTATAAAGCTCGCGCGTGATATACTCTTAATTCCTATAACTAGCGCTAGCGTTGAGTAGCTATTTAACACTACTTAGGATATCTATTATTATCGTCGAGGCTCACTAAATACTATAATAATCTAGGAGATTATATTATATAGATATATAAGGCAATTTAAAGTCGAAGAGGACGAAATCGCTTTTCGGAAGGAGTATCTTTCTATAGGGGAGATAGAAGCGGATCATAAAGAGAAAGATACCCAATAATAAGAGGGTACTGTCGACCTAATTAGTGACAATAAGGAGAGTAATAAGGACGATATATAGGTGGGTTTAGTCCTTATTTAAATGTAATTAATAACGGAAGGTCCCTCGAAACGTGCTCTTGGAAAGAGAAGAAAGAGTGTTGCATCTAAACTAGACACTGAAGGCTATAAGGATAGTAACGAGGAGGAAGATATTCCTCTACTAGAGACACAACAGTGTGTCTTAGGAAGATCTAGGAAGCGGCCGCGGCATAATAATAATTAGTTTATAGTTTATTAGTTTAGTTCTAGAATTAAAGACATTTATACTTATCCTTAACCTTATTTCTACAGGAATACACTACCTATAAGCTAGATACCTATAAATATAGCCTATAAATACATAATATATATATATCACGAGATTCTTTATATTTATATTATTTACCAACCTATAGGTAACCCGCGGGTAACCCACAGGTTTAATATCTCAACCCATACCCAACCTTTAGGTCCATACCCTCGACCCAAAACCCACCAAGAAACGGGTACGGATTAGGTCCAACCCGTCTACCCACGGGTTTGGGCGAGGTCTACGCCGACCGCATTAATGGCCACCAAAATCGCTCTGAAAGACGCGCCAACAACCATAAACTGACCCAAACTGAAGAGGAATCGCTTAAGAAGTGGATATTATCAATAGATACGCGTAGAGCAGCCCCTAGGCTAGCTATAGTGCGAGAAATGGCGAATCTTTTGCTTGCAAAGCGCGGTTCAACCCTAATCTAGACGGTCGGCGAAAACTAGGTCACAAACTATGTCAAAAGATAGCCAGAGCTAAAGACTCGTTTCTCACGTCGATACGACTATCAGCGAGCAAAACAAGAGGATCTAAAGGTTATTCAAGAGTGGTTTAATCGCGTATAAACTATAATTTAGCAATACGGTATCCTACCGAAGGATATCTACAATTTTGACGAGACTAGCTTCGCGATAGGCCTTACAGCGACCGTAAAGGTTATTACCTAAGCAGAATACTACGGTTGGCGATTAGTTTTACAACTAGGAAATCGTGAGTAGGTAACTACAATCGAGTCAATTAGCGCTTCTAGGTGGGCGCTTCCGCCTACGATTATCTTCAAAGCCAAACTATATAATCTAGCTTAGACCAATAACCTTCTAAGAGATTGGCGCTTTGAAGTTAGTCAAAATAGATAGACGATAGACGAGATTGGCCTTCGATGGCTTCAAAAGCTATTTATACCATCAACAAATAGCCGTACGCAAGGCCGATATCGATTATTAGTCCTTGATGGGCACGGTAGCCATCTTACGCCCTATTTCGACCAAATTTGCTTAGAAAACGAGATTATCCCTATTTATATGTTAGCGTATAGCTCGTATCTTTTATAGCCACTTGATATTGGTTGTTTTGCGGTTTTAAAGCGCTTATATAGAACCTTGGTTGATCAAAAAATGCGGCTTAGCATTAACTATATTGATAAGTTTGATTTCCTCGCTGCCTACCTAAATGATCGCGATAGCGCTTTTCAAGCGCCTACTATAAAAAATAGCTTCGCAGCAGCGGGTTTAGTGCTATTCGATCTAGAACGAGTGCTTTCAAAGCTTAATATCCAGCTTCGGACGCCTACACCCTTAGGAAGCCGCCTAAGCAGCCGATCAAGCGTTTTTACCCCAAAAACACTAGCGACCATCGCTAAATTACTTAAACAAGGAGCATCAATCTAAGCTTTCCTAAAACGACGCTCAAATAGCCCACCAACACCCTCAAAAACCGCGTTAAACCAGCTTATTAAGGGCTGTCAGATCGCTATACAAAATAGTATATTACTTGAGCAAGAAGTTAAGGAATTACGCGCTTCCAACGTAGCGCAGAAGCAAAAGCGCGCACGGGTTAATAGACGCATAGCCTACGAAGCTGGTATGTCAGTGCAGGAAGCTCAGGAGTATTTACAAGCCCATGAGCCTATTATATAGCCTACGGCACCGTCTCCAGCAGCACCCAACCAGCCTATTCAGCAGGCGGTAGCACTAGCGCGACGACGTCAATACACCTGTTCTATATGCGGTGAAAAAGGGCATAAGTCCCCTATATACCCAGTTAGGTAGAATAATTAATATAAAGGCGTTTTGGTTGAAAAAAATAGATATAAACAGGAAGTAGGTGGTTAGGTGGCCGGGTGGCTTGTGTGGCCGGGTGGCTTGTGTGGCCGGGTGGCTTGTGTGGCCGGGTGGCTTGTGTGGCCGGGTGGCTTGTGTGGCCGGGTGGCTTGTGAATTACGTTATAGTTAACGTAATTCACAAGCGAGCCGGCCACCCAAGCGAGCCGGCCACCCCAAAACATCATATTAAATACTGCTTTTTACAACCTTATATCTCAACAACCAAAGCTCTAATTTATTCCAATATAAGTATACTGGTATTGAGAGGCATTTTTTCTTGTGGATATTAATTTCAAGCCGATCAAAATGTCGTATACTCACAATACCATAAATTACGTTGTAATTTAGCTAAATAAACCAGAAATATATATATTCCGCTACCAAAATTTCCTAGACTCCATCCAAGTACTTTGTTTACTGTATAGAATATGGCCTTAGAGTTTGCTATCTATAAGAGCCCCGATTGTTGAGATATAAGGTTGTAAAAAACAGCATTTAATATGGTGTTTTGGGGTGGCCGGCTCGCTTGGGTGGCCGGCTCGCTTGGGTGGCCGGCTCGCTTGTGAATTACGTTAATGCTAAGCTGTATTTTTTGATTAACTAAGCTTCCGTAGGAGCGCTTTAGAACCGCAAAACAACCAATATCAAGCGGCTATAAAAGATGTAAGCTATGCGCTAGCATATATATAGGAATTATCTCGTTTTTTGCGCACATTTAGTCGAATTATAGAGTTAAATGACTCCTATGCCCATCAAGGACTAATAATCGATATTGGCCTTAAAGATAATTGTAGGCGGGAGCGCCCATCTAGAAGCGCTAATTAACTTAATTGTGGTCACCCACTCACGGTTTCCTAGCTATAAAACTGATCTCCGACCGTAGTATTCTGCGCGAGTAATAACTTTTGCGGTCGCAGTGAGGCCCATCGCGAAGCCTATCTCGTCAAAATTATAGATATCCTTTGGTAGGATACTATATTGCTGAACCGTAGCTTGTATGCTATTAAACCACTCTTGAATAACCTTTGGGTCCTCTTATTTTGCTCGCTGATAGTCGTATCGGCGTGAAAAACGAGCCTTAAGCTCTAGATGTCTTTTAACAAAGTTTGCAACCCAATTTTGGCCGATTAGGTCAATACCCTTTGAACCGCGCTTTGCAAGTAGCAAATTAGCTACACACAAGTGCAAATCCAGCTTCACCAATTTGCACACTTTTGTTAATTCTGTGCCCCACTGATAAGACTCCAGCCTGAAAACTGAGTGCGGTTTAGTGGGGTACGGCATGTACTCTTCTTTCTCCCCTGGTGTAGAACCTTCCAGACCTTGTCACTGACTCAGCCATTTAATTGTGGCAATCCGATCTGGAACCTCTTAGAAACTTGATGGCACATTCCATTAGCACGAAAGGGCCACATAAATTCTACTTTTCTCCCAGGCCCTTCTTTTACAGAGAGATTAGAATATAGAGGAAGGAGTGAAAATGGAAAATATTGACGACTGCTATAGACGAAATCGTAGGAAAGAAACCCGCCCTGATACGTGTCCTAAGGCAAGTGAATCCCCATTAATCGCGGAACAGCTAGGCCGAAAGTCAGGAGGAAGCCATAGTACATTTTTGCCGTTCATGTTTATCCACCGCCCTTGCTCAATGCAGATCGCCAGATTCTTGCGGGTTGAATTAGAAGCAAGGTTTTCGTGCCCGGACTGAACATCAAGGGTGCCCAAGTTAGTGATTAGATACGGACCCTCTTGAGAAAAGGCGAGTTCGTGGACGAATCCCTTAGTGTTCAAGGTCTGCTGCAGGCCGCCCGTCGCCGTGTCCCAGAGCCGCACGGTGTTATCCCCAGAGCCGGACGCCAGCAGCCGGCCGTCGGGCGAGAAGGCCACCGACCAAACCGAGCGCGAATGGCCCTCGAGAGTCTGCTGCAGGCCGCCCGTCGCCGTGTCCCAGAGCCGCACGGTGTTATCCCCAGAGCCGGACGCCAGCAGCCGGCCGTCGGGCGAGAAGGCCACCGAGTTAACCGGGCCCGAATGGCCCTCGAGAGTCTGCTGCAGGCCGCCCGTCGCCGTGTCCCAGAGCCGCACGGTCTTATCCCTAGAGCCGGACGCCAGCAGCCGGCCGTCGGGCGAGAAGGCTACCCAGTTAACCGGGCCCGAATGGCCCTCGAGAGCCTGCTGCAGGCCGCCCGTCGCCGTGTCCCAGAGCCGCACTGTGTTATCCCCAGAGCCGGACGCCAACAGCCGGCCGTCGGGCGAGAAGGCCACCGAGTTAACCGGGCCCGAATGGCCCTCGAGAGCCTGCTGCAGGCCGCCCGTCGCCATGTCCCAGAGCCGCACGGTCTTATCGTAAGAGCCGGACGCTAGCAGCCGGCCGTCGGGCGAGAAGGCCACCGAGTTGACCCAGCCCGAGTGGCCCTCGAGAGTCTGCTGCAGGCCGCCCGTCGTCGTGTCCCAGAGCCGCACGGTCTTATCGTAAGAGCCGGACGCTAGCAGCCGGCCGTCGGGCGAGAAGGCCACCGAGTTGACCGAGCCCGAATGGCCCTCGAGAGCCTGCTGCAGGCCGCCCGTCGCCGTGTCCCAGAGCCGCACGGTCTTATCCCCAGAGCCGGACGCTAGCAGCCGGCCGTCGGGCGAGAAGGCCACCGACCAAACCGAGCGCGAATGGCCCTCGAGAGTCTGCTGCAGGCCGCCCGTCGCCGTGTCCCAGAGCCGCACGGTGTTATCCCCAGAGCCGGACGCTAGCAGCCGGCCGTCGGGCGAGAAGGCCACCGAGTTAACCGGGCCCGAATGGCCCTCGAGAGTCTGCTGCAGGCCGCCCGTCGCCGTGTCCCAGAGCCGCACGGTCTTATCCCCAGAGCCGGACGCCAGCAGCCGGCCGTCGGGCGAGAAGGCCACCGAGTTGACCCAGTCCGAATGGCCCTCGAGAGTCTGCTGCAGGCCGCCCGTCGCCGTGTCCCAGAGCCGCACTGTGTTATCGTAAGAGCCGGACGCCAGCAGCCGGCCGTCGGGCGAGAAGGCCACCGAGTTGACCCAGTCCGAATGGCCCTCGAGAGTCTGCTGCAGGCCGCCCGTCGCCGTGTCCCAGAGCCGCACTGTGTTATCGTAAGAGCCGGACGCCAACAGCCGGCCGTCGGGCGAGAAGGCCACCGAGCTGACCAGGCCCGAATGGCCCTCGAGAGTCTGTAATTCTGCACTCCATTTTTCATTAACTTGTGGGAACTGGCATATCCAACTTGGAAGCTCCGACTTGAACTCTCTGCGAATTATTGTCGTTCGAGGTATAAAGACTAGCCCTGCGCAATAAATCTGGAGCGGTGCTTCGTCGGCTATCTGGTGGTTTTTCAGAACAAAGCGCGTTCCATCATGCAGAAAATTTGATATTACAGAATTATCGTCGCCCTATATCTATTAGTGTAAGTGTTAAATAGCTGTGTTCTATGTTACTTACTTGTATAAGCGGGTGGAGGAGATCAAGCATGCCCACCACCTCCGATATAAGACCTAGTAGACTCATCGCCTCCAGCCAATGCAGAAAATGCTCCTGGAGGAATAGTATCACATCTTCTATCCCGAAAGAAAGATCCTGACTCTGTTCGAGATGGTGTATCCAGTAGCGACAAGAGTACTGTAATTCCGACGGTAGATATTGGCGGATATGTTTAGGGTCAATGTCTGCCCTACACGCTCCAGGGTCTTCGAGATTACAGATATCTTTCCGTAGATGACTATGCATCGTTTTGAGACAGGACTTAGCAATTTCTTTGTGCTTTCTTTGCTCATCCACAAAAAACTTGCTACTAGATCTGACCAAAAAATCCCGAAATGATAGATGTAGAATCCTAACAGGCCGATCTCGGTCACCGGGAATGCTCAAAACAGAGCGGAATAAATCCAATCGATTGCTGATCTGGTCTGCTCCTATCTCAAGAAACAGCGACAGGGCATTTATAGAAAGTGGATCAGCCAGAAGGATTATGACACCGACTATGTCCTGGAACTCTTGCAGGAGCTGCTGCTGCTCCGATTCATCACTCTCTTGATCGTCCAGTAGTCGCGTCAGAATTGGCAGGTAAGTCTTATCCATTTTCGATATATATTTAGCGTGGTCCGTTAGAAGCTCTGCGAGGCGCAATTTGGATTCCCATTTTGCATTTTCGATGTAACGGCACACCGTGGCAGCCGAAATAAACAATGGAACGGACATCGTGACCAATTTTTGGATGACGTCATCGCCCGGCCAGTCTTGGGAAATATTTCTGTCATGTTTGATTCTCGCAAATCTGTCCTGCAGGAATAAATGTATGTCATGTTCCGTCACTTCTTCGGGTATCTCATGTAGAGCTAGATCCTGATACCCATGAGCCGCGATCTCTGAAAAGCCGAGGCTGATTGGGAGTTCGGGTCTGCTAGTCAAGAAGATCCGAAGACGAACCGATTTTGCCTTCTGTAGAAGAGCCAGTAATCGAATGATGTTTCGGACATCTTGGTCATGTTCGCATTCGTCCAAAGCGTCGATCACTATCACAGCGGTTTGAGGTTGTCGGCCGAGTTGGTCAAGATCGAGCAGCGGTTGAAGGAGTAGTTTCTCAAACTGCTCCCTCAACGATTTTGATATAATGTCAGGGTCATCGTGGAGTGCCTTGTGCACACTAGACCTCAGCTCAGAAATCATAAGCATCAGTTGCCTTATTAATGTCGGGAAAAACTTCTTCGCGTTCCCTCGGTCCCCTTCACCCCTCTTAAAGAAGAAGCTGGCACCTAGATAATTAGTGTCCTTGAGCGACCTTGCCACAGTCCGAGATATTGTGGATTTTCCTGTCCCAGCCATTCCCTTTAACCAGAAAATGGGTTTTTGGGACGGCGACATAGCCCAATCCATTATCTGCTGTAGAAGCTGGGTCCGAGTGCCTTGGAGACATTGGACTTCGTCTCGGTCGGAGAATGACTCAAACCCTGCCTCCATCGCACCTTCCAACTTCTCAAGATCCATACCTTGGACCACGCTGACCATCAGAGAACTACGCAGGCTTTGGGTCAATTATACAGAGCCATAATATCGAGCTCGCTAAACGTACGTTTGATCCACCTGTAAAGATAAGAGGAATGAAGACTTATATCTCTCGATGTTCTGAATAACGCCCTCCACCTGTGTCCGTTTCAGGGGCCACTTTAAGGCTCGTAATCCCATCTTGCTCATTAGCTTCTTTCCTTTTCCTGGATCAAGTCTCGCTTCTAAGGCTCGGAGGTCGGAGATGCAATCGGCAATATCGCGGTCTAGTTGTGAGGACGTAGGTAGGGCCTTTCCGTCGTTACTTTGAAGGAATTTCTGCAGGTCTTGGATTGTCCCTTGGAGGCCTGAGATCGCCTGTTGTAGGGTGAAAATTTTTTCTCGTGCATCTTTAACCTCTTGAATGTAGCCCCCGCAAAGCTTCACAAGGCTTCCCGTTAGTTGAATGACCGCGATAACGCTCGCCGCCCCCGATAAACCATCCATTGTGGAGAACACGGCACAATAACCTATTTTCGACACAGGTAGGTAGGATGGCGGTTGAAGTGTATAAACTTCGGGTTCGATATATAGTTAGGCTTTGTTGGCGAGATGAAGAAGAGTTAAAGAGGGGTAAGTTAGGCGGCGGGTACATCATTGGGTTGTCGGCTGGATTGTCGGCCCGAACCGACCCAGATCCATCTCCATCACGCTTCCTTCCGCCCTTACCACCTCATCAAACTTGGTTGACAGCGCGACAGAGGCCCATCATGGCGCCTCGACTCGCCCCCTCCCAGCTTGTGATGATTCGTGATATGATTGACAGCAGATCGCTGACCACCTTAGAGATGGCAGAAGCGGCTGGCTGCAGCAAGCGTTCGATTATCACCATCAGTAACAACCTCCGAATGTTCGCCGATGTTCGAGCACCCTTGATCCCTGGAGGCCGTCCTCTTATGATCACACCGTTTATGCTCGAAGCCCTATGCGAACACTTGATTGAGAAACCCGATTTATACCTGGACGAAATGGCAGACTTCCTATATGACGAATTCGAACTGCTCGTGTCTACATACACTGTTAGTCGAGCCCTTCGATCGCAGGGTTGGACCAAAAAGATAGCACGACGAATAGCACAAGAACGAAATGCGGATCTGAGAGATCATTATCTGCATCAGCTCTCAGATTTTCGCTCGTATCACCTAGTCTTCATAGACGAATCAGGCTGTGATAAACGGGCTGGGTTCAGGAGGACCGGCTGGTCCCCACGCGGGGTGACACCTGTCCAGGTTTCACGTTTCCAGCGCGGCCAGCGGTATCAAATTCTCCCCGCATATTGCCAAGATGGCATTTTGATGTCGCGAGTCTTCCAAGGATCGACAGACGCGAGTATGTTTGAGGACTTTATTGAACAGCTTCTTCATCATTGTGGTAGATGGCCGGAGCCCAAATCCGTTCTCATCATGGACAACGCGTCTTTCCACCATACTGAACGAATAACAGAACTATGTTTAAATGCTGGTGTGAAGTTGTTGTATTTACCACCGTACTCGCCTGATTTAAACCCGATCGAGGAATTCTTCGCGGAGCTTAAAGCATTCGTAAGACGGAATTGGCAACATCACATAGGTCAAGATTTTGAAGATTTTCTTGAATGGAGCTTGGATGTCGTTGGGGCGAAAAGAGAGAGTGCGGAAGGTCATTTCCGGCATGCGAACGTTGTGGTTGAAGAGCAGTCAGATTAGACATAAATGTCGAAGAGGCCTAGCAACTCTTTGACTAATATATAGCTCAAGGGAGCTTCACTGTTATGAGATTCGTTTCTGGAATAACATGAAATAGCGTGTAGATGCTAAGAGATCCTTGTATATTGAGCTGTGGAGCCCAGTTATGTTCGTCCACTTACCCACAAGAGACTGCAAGCCATTGATTGGTTCGATTGATCATGACGTCATGTACAGCGTCATGTACCCAGGACCATTTATCTATACCCAATTCCTAAACTAGCGGCTTGGCAGTTTCGTGACTACGTTGTGGGAGTAGTGGTGCTCCTTGTCTCGGCGCTACTGTAAGACCTTTAAGACTCCTTCAGCGGCTAGGAAGATAATAGGGGAGGCATCGTGCCTAATACACTAGATGGAGCCCTAGGGGGTTCTGACCGTCTTAGCGTAGTTTGGGGCGAAGTATCTATCGATAGGCGAGATACTGTAGGGCTATCCTGAAAAGGTATATCCTTATCGTTATCCTTAATTTCTATTACCCTACAGTCCCTAACTACCCCTTTTTTTCGAGGCCTCTCCTTAGAGGGTCGTCCGCGCTAAAATAGCTTCCCCTACACTGGCTGTCTTAATGGGTTTCCTATTAGTGCTTTAAAGTAGTTTGGATTACCTAAATAGTTCACTTCGGTAGCACGACGGTCCTACTTTATCGATTGGCTAGTTGGCTATACTAGTCTAGCGCCCCTCTCCGGCGAATAGAGCGTCGAGCTCTAGGGCTAGATCGATTCTCGCTTCTCCGCTACCGCCTACTACTCGAGCTCGATATCGTCCTAGAGATTATTATATACCGTATCTACTATTAAGTAACTATTAGCTCCTCACTCCGTCGGCCTTCTATCCTATACTTACCATTTTTATTGACTACCTAGCTTATGGCCTAAGCTAGTGCGGGCTCCCCCTAATATATCCACGGGATCCGTATTACTAGGCTTAGTAGTTATATACTATCTAATATAGACGTTTGTCTCGAGTCTCTCTATATGGAGGATCGAGTAGACTCTGTTATGATTTTGTTGATTTTTTACCCCTAGTGATTAATATTGTAGAGTGCGCGTAGAGGGTTTCTCTACCCTAAGTTCCCGTATAAGGCATAAGAGTAGATACGTCTAACGGTCTATGATTAGTCGGTTATACTATTAACGCCCCTAAGTCCAATCACCCTAGTTATCGCTACTAAAGTAACTTAGGCGGATTTGTTTTCGCCTATCGAGCTAGTACGTAATAACTAAGCTCTATCTAGGCCGTCGTGGGCGTCTACGTATCTACCGCGACGTCTAGGAAAGTCGACGGGCTTAGGCTATTCGACTAGATAACTCCTAGATTACTGGAGAACAATTCCTATATACCTTTCTCTACTATAACCCCTAGATTATTCCCGGTGAGAGCACGTGGTACGTAGAGTCGAGAAGCTAATTCGACGAAATTAGGGATACGCTAAGTGCGGTCCCACTCTCGCACGAGGGTGAGGGTATTAATATATTATCACTTAATAGTAATATATTATTTTAATAAGAACGGTTGCTTAGCAATAATGCCCTGAGCTAGCTAGCTCGGTTAAGTTAGTCGCTAAGTAACTCGATTGTCGATGCTGTGCTAGTGGGAGATAGTTACTCTTTGCCCTCTAAGGCCTATAGTTTATAATTTCCTAGTAACCACTCCTTTATTCCTTGCCTAGTTGGATCGATTACTAACTAGCCTTTTCTATAGCTACTTAACTTTCCCCCGAGCCGCACCTTAAACTAACTATCGATAGCTCGCCTACTTATCTACCAACGACTCCCGAACCGGTGGACCGTCTCCTATTTACTACTATATAAGCTCTCAAGCAGCCCCTATCACCGCGGTCCCTGGCTAGGGCACTCGTAGACTAACTTCTCTAACACTATAGCTATAAAGAGCACCTAGCGCTATTAGCATTATTATCCTTAAGCCACTAAGGTCGAGTAAGCGTCTCACTATCTACGCTAGCATCCTAGAACTGTCCCGATCTCCTTGCGGCCCCTTATAATTAGTAAATCTTATAGTACCTAACCGACTAGAATACCCTACTTCCTCCAATAGAGCGCTGACGACTCTTTATGGGTCTAACCTACGACGATAAATAGCCTATAGGCCTGTGGCCTATCCCGCCCCTAACCGTGGATCTCGAGGTAGATATAATTTCTCCGGAAGGCCGACTATAGGTTCTTTTGGATATCGATAGCGCTAGAGGCCTAGCATCTAGCCTTATAGTGGCCCGTAAGGGTATCTCCTAGAAAGCGTAGCGCGCGTAGATTAGCAATCTTTAAAGTTCGCTATATCTAGCCCCTATTCTAGTCTAGTGGATCGAGACGACCTCTTCGCGTCCTTAACGGCGACTCTAGCCTATCTACCGAATACCCTATCTCCTATTCGGTCGACTAGATGGGTATTACGCGGTTGAGGTTTATCTATTGTTCCCTCGTCTTTTCTACCTATCTCTCGATCACTTTATTATCACGAAAGATAACTGGCGAATATAGACAGACGAGATCTTTCTCCCATCTATATACGCCGTTTACCGGTCTTTAATCACGCAATATCTCCTATCTAGTTCTAAGCACATTAAGCGCAATACCTAGGCTCCCTAGATTGAGACAGACGTATAGAACCATACACTATTAGGGCGTACCTAAGACTTCCACTATTCCCTCTAGAGCGACGGGCTCGATACGTTATAGGTGGAGATTTAGCGCTAGGTTAACCTATTGGGCCATATCTATTTTCTAGACTACTAGATTGTTCTCACCGCTAAGAACCTTAAGCTCTAGACGTAGCACTCGACTTAGGCTGTAACCTAGCAGTTATTCTTCACCTAGTGGAACCGTGCGGTGAACCCTAACTACCTCCACCACGATTTCTACGATATTACGAAAGAGGTGATTTCCTATCAAAGGACCCTATAACTACCTAGGTCTATAGACCCTACTATGATTCTTAGCTAGCGACGATGCTATCTCTATATATTTAGTTAATAGCTTATATATAATAAAGTTTCTTTTGAGCAACCAGTTGAGACCTCGACTACCTCTTCATCAGGCTCGCCGTAGCGAGACTAGGCCTCCACACTAGCTGATATATTAAGTGAAGAGGAAGGAGAGGAGGGATAGGAGGGATAAGTGGATAAAGAGGAATAAGTAGATAAAGAGGAACAAGTGGATGAAGAGGAATAAGTGGATGAAGAGGAATAAGTGGATGAAGAGGAATAAGTGGATAAAGAGGAATAAGTGGATAAAGAGGAATAAGTAGATAAAGAGGAATAAGTAGTCGAAGAAGAATAAGTGGAGACGTAAGCATTAAGCTCTGCCTAGCCTAGGACTAATAACCGTCCTTCGAATCTGCCTCCTACGGAAGCTAGAGCCTAGGCCTCGCCTCAACGGCCCTAGCCTCCTAAAGGTTAGCGAGTTTAGTTTTACCTATAGTGCTTTCTTCGCGACTAGGGGTCTTTAACTATCGAGCCTTCCTAGAAGAGTACTCTATAGTAATAGGGATTACGGTACTACTAGATATATAATACGTCTAAGGAGATTTTTGCGGCTAGTAACCACTATCTTTTTGGTAACGAGAAACTCGACACGCTAGCACTCGACCCTAGGATGGTACGCTCCTAGCAATACACTAGCGGAGCTATAAGTCATTCTCCGCTCGCTATCCTCCGAGTATATCTATATACTAAGTAGCGGTGCTATACCGCTCTAGTTAGGTGCTATACCCACTTATATGGCACCTATAAGGAATATCGCGTAAGTGGTGCATTACTGGCGGCGATAGACGCTATTATCTATAAGCGAGGCCTTGCTAATTAGCTGATCGAACTAGCCACCTCTCCTATACCATTCTTTACGTACCTAACGCCACTAGTCCTCGATTAGTGGCGTTGGAACATTAATAAGCTCTATATTGGTTTCGAGATAACTTATAGTCTTCGACCGTGTACCTTTGTACACTAGGAGCACACTTAGGTGATAATGATATTCCTCCAGTGCCTACTGCGGATATATAGTGGCTAGGGTCAACACCTCCGTCGGAGTCTTGGGCTCTAGATCGACCGCCGCACCTAAGCGCCCCTGGAAGGGTCCGATTAAGAGATAGTCTAAGAGGGTATAGCGATAGGGGTGCACCTTAAGTGTTCTAGATACGCTTAGATAGCCAACAAGATCGATTAGGAGGTTATAGTGTTCTTGCCTAACCACCATCTCTCTATAGTCTTTAACACGCCGAGTCTCCAGTCAGCGTACATTATCTAATACTAGGATGTGGTCTAAACTAAGGGCGATTTTCTGTTTTTCTATGAGCTCTTTTCGCTGCTACATTAGCATCGGATACATCAATCCCGCTCGGCCTTCCTCCTTTAAGTCCTACTTAATGCCTATCTACGTGCATTCTAATAGGATATCTTCCGCGCCCTTAGCACCCTTAAATATCAGTAATCGCTCTATCTAGATCGTCTTCGTAAGGCCATAGCAGGCCACGTGCTATTAACAGCGGCGGGGTTCTAGTCGGTGTTTAAGCACGATCACCTACTTGACGATCTTCACTTTATTAATCCCTAGCGAGCGAGTGTAAGCTATATTAAGACTCTATTTATCTTCCTCTAGGGCTAGGATAGTGACGGTAACTAGGGTGACTGGGATCGCCGCGGCTAGGAGTTCCGTACGTATTGTGTTATCTACCGATAATGCTACGGCGTGATCGCTTAGGTCTATAGGGTCCTTTAGGCCCGCGAATAACGGCTCCGCCTCAAGGAAACCTAGATACGGACCTATTATATCCTACCGTACCCCAACGCTCGCACGTTCTGGTCGCGCGAGGCCGGCCATCTATAGACGTAGGTAAGTCGTTATCTCCTCGTTAAGTAGTATTATAAGTAGTAACGTTGGCCTCTAATCATCTCGCCTCTCGACGTAGACTAGCTCCCTATCTAGGGATAGGTCGCTAGCTCGGTGCTAAGCCTATTCGAAGTCACGTTATCCCCTGTGCCCTTAGACGTCCCCGCTACCCTTACTATTATAAATGATTGAGATAACGCCGCGTCCTATCCTAGTGGTCCGATTCTTCCTACGGCGGGGATAGTGGAGGGTTCCATTAGTGCTTACCTTTGGGAGCACGCCCTAGAGTAACGTATGCTCCGTTCCTTTATATACTAGTATAGCATCTAGACGGATCCCCTACACCGCAACCACTAATAGCTCTAGAAATATCTTATAAACTATCTTATCGTCGTTGCGATTACCCACCGGCGCGAGGTGGACTAACTTTCATGGCCTAAGTACTAGAGCTAGTAGCGCTAGCGGCGTCCCCGACTCGAAGAAGGACTTCGGTAGTTTGGCCTTCGCGTTGAGTAGCTCGAGGAGGATGATTCGGACCTAGAGAGCCTATAGTCGTAGCGTGATAAACTCAATCGTCGTCTTAATCGAATATAGGTTTGGCTTTAAGTAACGTAGTGGTATATTAATACCCTCCAAGGCTTGAGCTAGAAGAAAGATCGCTATCGTCGACTCGCCGCTAGTGGGAGATTCAACTAGGCTAAGTAGGACTAAAAGTATAGTGAGTAGTTTCGAGCATTACGCTAAGATCGCGAGGTCGTCCTATTACGACTCGAACGGGTCTCTTAGCAGTCCACGCGTCTATAGCTATAGTCTATCTAGTATCTATAAAATCTATCTCCTCCTAGCTTATAGACGCTCGCTTTTATACCCCTTTAGGCGTCCCTTAATATTAATTACCTCGTAGCTTTATAATTTTTGGGAGAATTAACTATCTCCTCCATTATTAGTTCCTCGTTTCCGTAGGCGGTGACCCTAGACTCGTGTTGTATCTGGCCCCTCTGTAGGGTAGCTATTTAGGTCAAAATATTAATACCTCTACACTTGCGCTTATGCCTTTCCCCTTCACCTAGATAACTAACCTCGTCTCGGCCTCCACTATGGCGCGGTCTAGTGGAACCCCTAATCCTCTAGGACCTATTAACGGACGTGTACTCGCTGCCTAGATCTTCCGCTATTCTCCCCTACATCGCGTCTTTATCTATATTCCCTGTTGGTGTGCGGTGTTTAATATAGAGTCGTAGCTTAGTCGGCACCTCCGTAAGTTCTATTGGTATAGCCCTAAACCGTATCTCTCGACTACGGACGCTATTAAGTATTTTGCCAAGTTCCTTGACTGGATCCGTAGTATTAGGTCCTTTTAACTACCCTCTTGTCCGATGCCCGCTATTCCTAGCATTATAGTATACTATAATACCTTCTAGTGTACCTACCTATCCTACTAGTACATCGGATATAACCTATATTAAATCCAAGAATATACTTGGCGCCGCTATGCCTAGGAGAATCCCGACCTTTGGTTATAGTATAATCGCTCTCTCGACCGCGAATCCCTCCCCTGGACGAGAGTGACGAGCTAGTTATTAATCACGCGTGGCTAGGGAGCGACTTATTACCTAGTGGTTGTTGGCCCATCTTCTTAGACGGTCCCCGCTGGCGTAGAGGGGATAGAGGAATCTAACGTATAGCTAGCGACACTGGAGGTCGTGGTGGCCGTTCCTCCGCTACGGACTAAGCACTAAGGTCTATCTAGCTCTACTAAGTCTGCTTGGGCAACCTCCCACTAGAGTCCTTCACCTAGTGTATGGGCGCCGTCCTTAGGCCTAGCTAGTTTACCTAACCTATCTACGTTATCTCGCTAAGCGGAGGTAAGCCCTTAGCGTCGCTCCTCTCCCCGCGTTGTATCCTCCTAGCCTAATCCGTAGCTAACGGCTAATTGACTTCGGGCGGTAGTCAAGGAGTAGGGTAATTATTATATACTCTGCTAGCGAATTCTTAGTGATCTTAATGCACCTAACACTTCTTATAGTCAGATTGCTATAGTGCGGTTCTATAACTGTGACTATTAGAGTGCGAGGGCGGTTTAGATGGTATAGCGGTAGCTTTTGCAGTGGCTACTTAAAGAGAGCCCATTATATAGCTACCCTAAGTATACGCTGCCCCTAAAATACTGTGGTAAGAACTAGGTGGTTCGCATCCTAAACATAGAATCGCCCGGTAGGGGGGGGGGGTACCCATAGTTAAAAAGTCTTGGCAAGGGGGGGGGTACCGAGTCAACACGGTACCCCCCCTAAGTAGGTCAAATCTTAGTATTTTTCGATCGGGTCTTTTAAATCTTTTAATATTAAAGCCTTTCCAATCTTTTGGCTTATTTACATTTTTAGATTTCGACCTAGAATAGTGAGGGCTAAGGGGGTCTGGTTTTCGTGAATTATTTTTGATGGGGGATGCCAAGACCTTTTCGCGCGGGTAGCCTATCCCTATTTAAGCTAGACATCCCTTATGTAAGTACTAGGCTTAGCTATTAGGCTAACTTCTAGACCCTATAAAGTCCTTAAGGCTAGTATCAGGGCTAATAGTAATCCCTTAATATCTCGCGAATGAGGTAAGCTATTATTATAAGGGAAGAAGTTCTAGATACTATAGCCCTCTCGCTACTAGGCTAGGGGATTTATATTACGTAAGCAAGCCTTATACTAGTAGAATCTATAGGGATAGGGAGTTTGAAACTTTTTACTAGATGACTAATCCTATGTAGGCTAGTTTAATAGAGGGAGTCTTGGCGGTTAGATTAATATTAGTAGTATCCTGATTAGGCTAGTCTCCACGAAGTTATTAAGCGTTGAAATCTATTACGCTTAGTAGTTATAAATATAGATCCGAATGATATATCGTACTAATATATAAGAGGAATTGATAAAGTGATATCTTCTCAATACTAGTAGGATATATATATTATTTCTACTAGAGGTATAGCGTAAAGGGGTCTATAAGAGAGACATAGGTAGATAGAATAATAGAGAGGATAGTATAGAGGCTAGAATATAGGGCGGAAGGGGTTAGTTAGTAGGCTAGGCGTAGTGGCTGCTAGTAGTATTTAATTATATATAATGTGCTATGGTTAGTAGTAGGTACAAATATATATAAGCTTAGTAGCTAAGGAAGGTAAGGTAGGGTAGTAAGATAGTAGGGTAAACCGCTAAACCGCTATAGATAATAAAGTAGGGTAGTATAGAGTAGGATAGTAGGGTAGGATAGTAGAATAAAGTAGTAGAATAAAGTAGTAGAGTAGAGGAGTAGAGTAGCAAGTAGTAAGTAGAGGAGTAGAGTAGTGGGTAGTAAGTAGAGGAGTAGGGTAGTGAGTAGTAAGTAGGGTAGTAGGGTAGTATTAGTGGGTTAGTAGGTTAGTGGGTGGTTAGTAGGTTAGTAGGTTAGTAGGTTAGTAGGTTAGTAGGTTAGTAGGTTAGTAGGTTAGTAGGTTAGTAGGTTAGTAGGTTAGTAGGTTAGTAGGTTAGTAGGTTAGTAGGTTAGTAGGTTAGTAGGTAGGTTTAGGGTTTAGGGTTTAGGGGGGTTTAGGGTTAGGGTTTAGGGTTTAGGGTTTAGGGTTTAGGGTTAGGGTTTAGGATCCCTCAGGCTGCTCCTTCTTCCTCCTCCCAGCAATCTCGGTGACCCAACCCGAGATCTGGTAAATCCAACCACCGGTAACAAGAACTCCACTAACGGTGTTGATCACCCGGATAACAAGCGCCAGGAACCCGCCCCGTTCTTCACTGACAAGCAGCAAAATCGGCTCAATGTTGTACTTGAAGAAGATGCCCGGGACCAAGTACGGGGTCTCGGGCATCTCTTCAGACTGGCTAGTCGCCGCGTACTGGTTCGTGAAGACCGTGTTACGGCCAGTGCGAGCGGTGGCCGACGCCGGAGAACGGGTGTATGCGTCCAGGGCGCTTCGACCCTTGGTGTATAGAGTAGGCACGACGGAGAGGAAGTACTGGTACTTGAAGTAATGCTTGTCGGTCTCGGCCATGGTTTTATCGAGAGGGATTCATCAAAGTTGGGTAGTGAGGGCCGAAAGAAAGCTCGGTGATCATGTGCGAGAAGTTGAAAGCTGGATTGAAGGATAAGTAAATGGGTCAAACCTGGGGCGAAATCGGAATCGAAACATACCACTGTGATCCAAGTGCGGCGCAAACTCCCTATACCCATGACCTCTCGCGGTGATATGGAAATCTCCCTGTACTTTGTTTCCCTCCAGACTACCATAAATTCGACAAGAATCCGCAGTGTCGCCCCATCGCATCGAGGGACCCTTCGCAAACTTGCGCCTGGGGTTGCGTCGCACCTCGCCCAGAACGTGGTGCGCATGTGCATCTGCCTCCTGTGCTGTCAATCGGTCCTCCTCCTCGTGACTCAGTGTTTGGTACTCGTGCTTGTCCTTGTTCCGCTTGTGCATCCACAGGTTCCAGCTCGTTTCCTCGCGCTTGAGCATGTCGCTGGCTAAGATGCGGTCGCCGGCTGCGTCTTGGATGTTGACACGAAGGGTATCGCAGGGCATGTTGACGACGATATCGAGGTTGAGCTGGAGTTCATGGGAGACGCCCTTCTCCACGCTGAAGTGGTGCTGTTCTGTGCCACGCCACCATGTTTTTAGTTCGGAGAAGCTGAAGACAGTGCAGACGAGGAGAATAAGGACGGTCCATTGGCCACCGCGGTGGGTTGGGGTTGTGTAGGAGGCTTTTGTTTTCGCTATTAAGAGTAGGAAAATTAGCCTGCCATGTCTTTGTCTCGTAGTGGTGGTGAAATTGGGGTAAGGTTTGAGGTTGATGTTCGCGGATCGCGTGTCTGCATATGTATAGCGTTAGGGCAAAGAAGACTCACGGAAAGCGTCAAAGGTCTTCAGCCCCGACAGAGCGCCTTTCTCTCCAAAGGCATCCTCATCGAGGCCCTTAGAGTCAAAGCCATTCATTGCGAATTGAGAGGACAGCAGTGAAGGAACAGAAATGGAAAGGTGGAGTGCGGGTCAGATAAGGCGATGAGGCCAAGTAGTCCGATTCGCCGCGACCCACTCTGTCAGGTACACGATAGCCGCGATTTGCAGCGTTTCTCACTGGAATTTCCCGAGGTCTACTTGATGATAAAATGAGAGTGGAAAGATCTAATCTTGAACAATCACTTCTGAATCCAATAGTGTATCTTGTTTTTTTGAACATTAGACTTGATAACGTGGATTTAAATTTCCCGTATTGACGAGTGTACCTTTGGCAGTGTATATATTCCGCGAGGATAGATCGTCAGGATTATACAAAACCTCAGCATTCCGAGGTTCGTAGACTCGTATCACTGAAGCTTCAAGTGACATGAAGGATTAGCCCTCGGGGCTTGAGGGCTTGGAAGATTACCTTTGAAAGAATAGAATGTGCAATCGTGTACTCAGTATTCGTACTCCAGGTCTATATTGGGATAGTTATGTATCGTAGTAATGCATTGGATTCAAAGCCAATCCGAATGCTCTACAGAAAGCCTCACGGTCGTGAAATTCTCTCGGAGAGATGCAAGGAAATAAAAAAAACGTCAAACTGTACAAAAGCAGGACCGAAAAGGGCCTGATGGGGGTAATGATGGGTCATCAGTATAGAAGCGAAAGACAGCAGGACAAACGAAAGACATGAACATAATAAAACCCCGTCGCATGAATCATATCAGGGCCCAGATGCAAATGCTGTCCACAAACATAAAAGGGTATAGGATGGATGCCGTCCTTTCTGGCCGTGGGTTCCCCGAACCAGATCAACAAATGCATGACATGACAAACCACCTGATGCATGAGAGAACATGAGACAAGAACAAAAGAAAACAATGTATGAAAACAGGGGGAATATCGCTATTACAGGGCGTAGGGGAGAAGAGGGTTTATTTGGTCCTCTGTCGGCTGGTCAGCTTTTGTTTTAAGGTTCCTAACCAGCCACTGGCTCCCATGCTAACTCACCAAGCTGGTCGCCGCCGCCGCGGTGGCAAGGTCGGGCTTCCCACTGATGCTTCGTGCGGAAGCACGAGGCAATGCTGGGTGGTGGAATCCTTAGACCGCTCGCTTGGCGGGGCTGGACGGCGGTGGACCGTTGATTGTCGAATGGCGCTTGCCCGGAGCCCTTGACCGGAGAATTACCAGATGCATCACGGGTAGCGCAGAAATCCGCCGGTCTTCAAGGTTCGAGCTGGGAGGCTCCGGAAGCGGGCGCCCACTGAGGCGCCACGCTTAGAGGGTGAGCTTGCGGTGGTCTGAGCATACATCCTGGGGCGAGCTGTCGGCTTGATACCGGTAAGGAATTCGTGCTTCAGCGCCTCGTGAGGGGTCATTCGGCGGGCAGGATCCCAGCGCAGACAGAGGGTGATGAAATCCAGGAAAGCCTCATCGTCGCACTTGAGAACTTGACGAAGCTCTTTAGAGCTGGGACGACGGCGCCGTCCCTTGGACGAAACGGTCAGACGTGGCTTGCCCAGGGAATCAAAGAACAACTTCTTGCGCGTGCTCTTTTCAATCAAGTGCTTCTCTGGAGGACCGAAGACTTCCATGATACAGGCCAGTTGCTCCTGTTCGTTCTCACCTGGAAAGATAGGGATAACCGGTGAACAACTCAGCCAGGATACACCCAACACTCCACATGTCGATGGGCATACCGTATGACATGCCCAAGATGACCTCAGGTGACCGGTAGAAACGACTCTGGATGTAAGTGTAGACCTTTTCATTTTCGAAACAACTAGAGCCGAAATCGATAACGCGAATTTCGGAATTCAACGGGGTGAACGAGAAGAATGTTCTCGGGTTTCAAATCGCAATGAATGACCTTCTTTGCATGCAAGAGGGGGTAAGACTGCTGAGCATTTGCTTGGTGAATCGCCGAATGAGCTTGATGTTGAAGCCTCGGAAGTCGTGAGCCTTGATGAAACTCGTAAAGATTGATTCCCAGGAGTTCCGTCGATATGCAGAGATGGCCACGGAAGTAGAAATTCTCAACAAAGTTGACCACGCTGTGGCGGCGATCCGGGTCCCAGTCCTTCAGCTTGCGGAGAAGGTTGACTTCGATCAAAGCCTGTTGATGGAAACGCTTCTTGTTGCGAATGATCTTGATTGCGACCAAAGCACCAGTCTTGTGGTCGACACATCTCACGACTTGTCCGAAACTTCCCTTACCAAGGACATCCACAACCTCGTAGCGGTATGCAAGGTGATCGCCCATCACGATGTTATAGTCGCCCCTATCGTCGTCATATCCGAAATTTGCAGCACCAGAGTGAAGATCCCCGACATGCTTCTTCGCATTTTGAGTGCCGCAGAAGAAGATGTCTCGGTAATCAATAATTTCGCCGCGCTCAAAGATGTTCAAATTGGCCATCTTGAGAGCCGCAGCGGGACTGACACGATCCTTTGGTCCCGCCTTGCGACGCAGTTCATCCAATGCTTTGGCGGCGCTTTCAAAGTCTCTTCCGTTTGGCTCCAAGCCTGCGCATTTCCTCATCCGCCACCACTATGTCAGCATCAACGCTGGCATCGGTCGGCCGAGAAGAAGCGGCGGCGCTAGAACGAGCAGAGTTGATTATTTTATGTACCGGAGACACATAGGTGCTGTTGGGTCGGGTATGCGAGGGATCCAGACTCCCAGAAGAATCATTTGAACGAGTTGGCTCCAAGTTGACGCCTTGTTCACTGCTGACACTGGGCTTGCGAGGGGACGCCGATTGTTTTGTTATACTAGACACAGATGATTGACGGCGGGGCTTGAGGTAAGATGTCTTGACACTAGGACTGGTCGAAGGCACAGAAGACAAATTGTTCCAAGTTGCGGATGCCGGGAGTTTGGGTGGTGGCATATGGTCGTATTTGGCTGGATCCGTATCCATGTCAGACGAGGGCTTTATCTTGGAGTTGCTGCGAACTCGTGCAACATTCAAGCGATCCCGAAGACGAGGGACCCGACACCGCAGTAGTGCTTTCTGGCTCAGATGGGGTCGAAATCTGACTCAATCTTTCCGTAGCAGGTGTAAAACTGGCACTTTGTGTCTGCGGGCGTGGACCAGTCAACTTATACGACTGAGAAGCTCGGTTATTGGAATAGTCGCCCGCTAGCTTGGTGACGGAGAGCATTGAACTCGCTGCTGCTCTTGGGCAGTGTGTATGATGCATATGGCGATATATTGCGGTGTGCCATTGGGCGTATCGAGAGACTCAAACGCGCTAGTACTGCTGGCCGCCCGTAATGACGCCGCCGTTGCGCTAGGAGCTGATCGCAAAGTGGGACGTACTGCTCCGTACCTGAGTAGCAGGTGCTTTATCTTCATCGTCGTACGGAAAGACCAGAAGTTGGATGCCTTTGATGCAGTCATTGGCGTGCTAGGGGTCTTCGAAATGACCTGGTTGGAAGGGGTGTATGATTTCCGCTCTTCAGCTTCCCGGTCTCTTAGAGCTTCAATCTTGGTCGTCATTGGGGTACCCAGTGGCAGAAGGTTCAATGGAGGCAGCTTCAATGGTTGCAAGCCCTTGCGACCCAGGACCGTGGAGGTTCGTGTTCGCGACTCGGGCGTTTTCGCCGCCCAGCTCAGTCGTATAGTCATTATTGTTGTCATCGGCGGTGGCACCGTGTCGGCCCTGGAGGTCCTTGTCCGAATCCTGAGCAATGTTCAATAGGCTGATATCCACTGGTAAGCTGGACTTCCTTGGGGCCGGGAAGACCGGCGCGTCCAGTTCACCCTTGGGGGATTCATAAGCCTTGGGGATTGCGGGGAACAGGAGGCACCTTCTTCCTCGGCATTCGATGATGATTGCTCCGTGCGCGGCTTGGGCGTGGGTAATCGCGAGGAAGAGAAATTTTGGGAGAGACGTGGCTGAAGCGAGCTGCTAGAGTTCCGGATCGAGTTGTAGCTGGTGTTCGATGACAGCGATAACCCAGAGCTGTAGGACTTGCGGTTGGGATCTGGAGTGGTCCGGTTAGAGGATGGGGTGATGCTTTTTCTTGGGAGGAAGGAAGGGGATTGAGTTCGAGGAAAGAGGCCGAACAGGAAGGGGCTCCGTCTGGGTGGGTGGGGTATGTGGCATAGGAGGTGCAGGAGGTGCAATGGACATCCGCTTCATGCGGCGTGCATCCGTGGGACTGATGGTACGGGCACCTAAACCAGTTGCATGCGGCATGACAGACATACGCTTGGAAGATGAACACGAAGAGTGGGCGTTGTGCAGTAGGGTTCCGGTTGTGTTCTTGACCGGTGTGCGAACAGCATTAGTCGACGACGATCGGCTGTGGTCCGAGGTCCCAGACGCGGTCAGATAAGCCCCGGGTGGCTCTCGTGCAGTGGGCTGGAAAGACTTTGCCTTGAGGCTTCGGACGGAGGAGGGCACTTTAGGCTCATCTCGTCCCGAGTCTGGCTGTGTACCCCGCGGCCGAAGGAAATTGTTCGGGTCTCGTGATGGATCGGTGCTGACTTTGCGAGCACTCAAGCTGGCGCGTCTCGCTGAAGCACTCGTGGGTGCAAATGCGCCGGAGCTGATTGACTTGCGAGAAGCTCGCGCCCCGACAGTGGGATGATTACCACCATTAGCGGCGGGCTGAGCAAGACTTTGACGTCGCGATCGGGTGTTGCCAGGGAGGTCGTGAGCATCCCAGGAGTTGGAACATTCTGACCGTGGAAGCGTGATACTTCGCTCTTCCGGCGGGTGGACGCGTTTCTTGTGCGATCCGAGATATTGCTCTCATAGCTGTGGTTTGTCCAGGAGCTGTTGGTTGACAGGCCTGAGTCCCTATTTTCAGACCCCGCGCCTCCATTTCCAGGCATGGGGAAATGATTCAAGCTTGGCTCCGCCATGATGCTGTTGTGGAAGTCAGTCGAAATTTATTGGCGCCAAAAAATCCATGTTGTCCGGGGGGATTTGGGTGGTGTCTTGCTTCGCCAAATTTCCCACACTCGTAGATCGGAGATTGTAACCCTTGCGAATCGTTGGTGGAGTCAACCGATGAGGTTTCAGAGTGGAAGTAGCCACCGGACGGTTTGCTATAAAAGATCATAATTAGTTATTATTGCGTAAAATATGAGCGATTGCCGGCCGCGAAAATCAGGGGGCAGTCAACACCCACCTCCAGCGCGAAGCGTCCTGTGGTCGCGGCCCCTGAGGAGCATTGCCTCGAACAGACAATTGCCTCGCGAGTCGTCCCCCCAACACGGGGCCCTGCTACACCCCTCTCGAGGGCTGAGAATCAAAATTGGTCGTAGAATTCGTATGGAAGGTGGTTGAAGCGGCCTTTACAAGACGTCTGCGGGCGGGGGTTTCGGCTATTTAAAGTACGTGAGCAATCATCTGATTGCGTTACGAGGCTCAGCTCCCATCTGGCTTACCTCCAGAGCCCGAGTCATCGTTCCTAGACGGGTTAGATGAGCGGGATTGTACAGAACCAGCTTGACCCCTCCCTGAGTTTGGGATGGGTTGGCGGGCATTGTTCCCAATCAGAGGTCCGATTGAAACAGGACCGATCCCTTAAGTTGACAGCCCGATGCGCTGATCAGACCGAGAAATGCCAGGAACTGGCCGCAATGGCATTCAGGAGAAAGCGGCTTTGGAATCCCCACTCGGAAGAGCCTTGAGCACAGTCGCGCGACTCGTCAAATGGCGGTTACCGGTCCATATCGGGGCATAACAGAGGAACGGCCGTATGCGATGCCCGAGATAATGTGCAGTTCGGGACGTTAGGGGAGAACACTGAGGATGGGAGATTTCCAATCACTCAAAAATAATTTTGGTGTAGCTTTGGTCGTGTTGCTGGGGCAGGTGCTAAGGCGGTCGCAGGGTATCAGGATCCACCAACAAAGGCACCACAAAGGGGATTAAGATGAAGTAGGGAAATGTCAAAGAACACCTAATGTGTCCTGAGAAGAGAGGAAAAGAAGAAGGATAAAAAAGGACCAAAAAGACAGGAGAAACAAGACGAATCCGCATTTAGTCTCGGAACTTCCCCTGATTGTAAACTGTGTTTGTATGGTACAACGGCTTACTAGATTACCCGCCATTGGAAATGAACCCCACATAGAACGTGCCGATCGTTGAAGGTAATATCGTATCAGCAATACACATAGTTAAGCCCTGGAGAAAATTATTTCTGCGCTGAAGCGTTGGTAGATCCCCTCTTAACCTTAGCAATACGTAACTGAACGAAGTACA